CTATAGCAATGTTGCATGTAATTCAAGCTTCTTAATTCTGGAAATAGAGATTCAAGCTTCTTAATTCTGGAAATAGAATATAGTCATGGCCATAATATCAATATTCAACCCCTGTATCCCCAAAACTTTTAATTTTAAGGTTCGCTTTCTCTACAATCTATTGTTTACAAATAGATGTGTGTGTGTATAATATATATGCAGGTACGAAATGCATGAAACTTATATTGATAAGTATGTAACTGGGGAAGCATTTAGTAATGTCTTTGGAGAGAAAATTTTGAGATTAATTATTAAGGATAAAAATTTCAACTTAAAAACTATGTTAATTGTTGAAGGAATTTTAAAATTGCATCCACCAAACAACTTTTTTCTTTTAAATACCTTATATACATTTTGCAAAGGCCTTCAAATGGAAGGAATTTTAGAATTTGAAAGCTCCCCTAAACAGAGCTTGTTATCTTTTCTATTCCATACAAAGTTAATATTTTTTTAAAAAATATTTAGTCGGTTAGGTTTTATCTCTTGTGAATTTTTTCAATTCATTTTCTCTCTTTTAATAAAAGAAATAATAAAACCACAATTCTTATAAATTTATAATAATGACTTTATAAATAGGGTTAAGTGAAAAAAATACCCCTCTATTATTAATATAGTGCAAAATGGTCCTGTGTGGTAAAAAAAAAAACCCTATATTATCAATTTGGTGCAAATAGGTCCCTGTGTGGTATAAAATGACGATAATACCCTCACTTCAATTGAATAAATTAATAACTATAAATACAGACCATATAAAATGAATTTTTTGTCCAAGTTGTGTAAAACTGTGTTTGTTTGAGATAAGGATAAAATAAACCACAAATTATATAAAATTTGGATAACCTAAACCAAAGAAACCTAAAATTAAATATAATAAAAACCCATACCTAACATTCCCCTTTTATATAAAACACACTTAACCATTTTTAGGAATCAAAGGATGTTTTAGCTTTTTTTTCTTTAAAAAATAAATAAAAGAAAGAAACAAGATTAAGATTTCTATTATATATATATATATATATATATAGAGCAATACTTAGGTCCTCACTAGTGAGGATCTACACCATCCTCACCAGTGATGTTGATCAATAATAAATAGACATGCCATCACAAAGATGGTGATTTATTATGATGAGTAAATACACACTTATAAAACACAACCAAATCACATAGATAGTAATTTATTATTAGTCTACATCACTAGTGAGGTTGGTGTAGATCCTCACTAGTGAGGACCTAAGTATCATTCATATATATATATATATATATATATAACAAAATGCATTGAAATGGGTCCTTTAATTTTTTTTTGGTACTGGTAGTACCATCAATGCTTATTCCTCCGTCTTCAATCTTCCACCAACCAAAGTCCTGATTTAAGCACACTTCCATCATCACCCATATTTCAACGAATGGACCAGATTCAGAATAAATCAGAGCAAGAGAGTTATCCCTTTCTAGTGCCATGTGAGTGATCTAGGTTTTAAGTTTTAACATAGGCTGCAATATTTCTTGTTAAAATTGAGCATATAACCTTCAATTTGCAAAGTCATGGACTTTTCTGGACTCAACAGTGACATGTATTTTATAATCTAGCTAATCGAATTTTCTTATTATTTTTCTAATTTGGCTAAACTAGTAAAAAAATTTACTAGTGTGAATATATTAAAAAGAATAAGATTGTGATCCTAAGTAGGTTTTTGTAATAAATTTTGAACAAAAAAGTTTTGGAATGGAATTCTAAGGTCAACAAACGAAAGGGGGTCGAAAATCGAGTTCTGAGCGAGGAGATATGCCCTGGACAAGATTGACGACAATTGCTTAACTTTTCGAAAAAAAGGAGGGGGGGAAAAAAAGTACACTTGTTGCTTAATAGTTATGATCTAGAATTGGTACTAAATTTCTTCTTTGATGGTTAATTAGGAACTTTGAGATCAAAGCATATATATCTATCGGCATTTTATTGTTTATTACTCTTCTTTTTCTTTCTTTCTTTTTTTTTTCTTTTTTTTTTTTTTTTTTTTTTTTTTTTTTTATGGAGGCAAATGCCATATGAAGAAGGAAGCAGAGTTTCTAGAAGTTGGATTTCCCATTTACTAACCATCATCTGGTTTCTATTCTTGTTGTTAGTCATGTTATCTTATATATTTCTTTAAAATCTTATTTTTATCTCTTGCAATGAAACTGCAGTTGTTTTTTCCCTTCTGCTAGTTAAAAAGACGACTTTTTTATGTCCAAGAGAATCAAAATAAAATATAATATCCAAGAAAATAAACCATGAATAACAACATGATGGTTTGCAATGGAGATAATAAGTTTACCATGGGAAGGCATGGGCATAGGCCTCATAGTCAAAGGTCCAATGTCTACAATTATGTTTAATTAATTGCATTAATCAAATCAGTAACAAACGCAAGAACCATATAAAAATAGCCAATGAATATTTTCATGAATAGGTAGTAATACTTGTAGCAGTATATAATATATACTAATTATAATAATATTATTAATTTGTTTTAAAGTTTAGGTATATGAGCGAACTCTTGAAAAGCAAGGCCCCTGTTTCTACTGGAGCTGAAAGCGATATGGCATCAGTAAGCCATTAGATGAAGTGTTTAAGCCTTGACTTGGTCCTGCTTCCTCTATTTTTTTAAGAATACCGAGTTGGGTTCTTCTCCTACCCGTATCGAATAAAACATGCTGAGCCAAATCTTCTTCTTTGTCATGATAAAAATAAATAAATAAAAAGACTATCCACAATCATGTGGTCCAATGTCTTTAATTATTACCATCAGGTCATACAAATGGCGAGTAAATCGTTTTCATCTGAGCTGGCGAGCAGGGGAGGAGCCAGCAGGGGCCCATGTTGGCCCATTAGTTTTAATTACAAAATGGCCTATAATTTATAAAAGTTTTCAAAATGCCCCCCCTGAAATAATTTATTTTAAAAAAATGGCCATTAATTTTTATTACACATAGGCCAATAATTTATAAAAAATTGAAAAATGCCCCCTGAAATAATTATTTACCCTTGGGCCAATTAATTTTTATTGCAAATAGGCCTATAATTTATAAAATTTTACAAAAATGCCAACTAAAATAATTATTTTTAAAAAATATCTTTAATTTTTCCTTTCTTTTCATTCTTACTCCTCCTCCTCTTCTTCTTCTTCTTCTTCTTTATATTCTCTTTAAAAAAAAAGTTTCATTCCTTTATTTAAACTATTTTTTTTTTTTTCTCTTCAAAGTTTGGTAATTAAATTTGTTGCCTTAAGGTCGGAATTTTTATGTTCCTATGTTTTTAAAAAAATTATTTTTCAAATTATTAAATGCTATTATTCCACCATTAGTACAATTTTATTTTTTGATTTATTATCTTGCATCACTTTTTGCTTGAAACAAATTCCTGGCTCCGCCCCTGCTGGCGAGTATGTTTGGCAAATGATTTAATAAGAGTCCTAATATATTAGCATACTCTTCTATGATTTTAGTAGCCTAAATATACGCAAGCAAAGAATTACAAACTTGAAAACACACAGCACTGGGAAGCTATCACTATTTTGCAACGGGATTGTGCTAAAGAATGACGTGCAGAACTTCTGAAAAGGAGCTGTGCCTGTTGGACACATTGTGGATGTGTAAAATTAAAATAAAAAATAAATGAATTCTTAGTTTTGGACACATACAAAATACTTCTGAGACATTTGCCAAAATGTGACTCCTCGACCACGGCCACGAGTAAAACGACCACCACCATCACGAGAAAACTGAAAGCCATCCTAGTTCACAACTAAGGCGGAACATTCACTACTAGGAGGAGCAGTGACACCACTGGAAGCACCTTGAAAAATCAGTTGTTGGGGAGTGCTAGCTGCATGTTGCACTGAAGCACTCTGCGAACACGTAGTTTTTTGCTAACAAAAACTCGAAATTTCGTTTGCATTCATGCTAATTGTCACAATTTTCCTCTCATAATTATAATATGTTTCGTTTGCAGTCGTCTCAACATATTTGGTCCTCCAATATTTACCAAACTATTTTTATTGTTTTTTGGGCCTGTAATACTTTTTCCTTCCAAACAACTCGATTTTCTTGAGTGAATTACATAAATTACTTTATACAATTGCAAGCAATATTTGTGCTCTAAAATTCTTTTCACACTACTTTTAACACAACTTGTGTAAGATTGCAAGCTCACATTTATCTTGATTTTTTTTTTTCTGCAATGTTTAAAAACCATAAAAGCAACAAAAACTGTAGCCAACTGGACGGAACATTCTCAGTAAAGTGGATCTTTATTGTGTCATTCCATGCTTATAGAAAACGAAGTTTTTCATCTTCAAAAGGATTAGATGGACTTAAGGTAATGAAAAATCAAACAAGTCCTCACTTGAAAACTTTTTACAAAATTATTTATTTTTATATGTTTTATAAAATAGTTCGAGTAATTTAGTCAACTTAAGGTTTAAATTTGTGAGATGGACTTATTTGTATAACAATGAAAGCTATTCTAAGTCAAGTGAGATTATGAATTTCAAGAACAAATATAAACATAGTAGAGATAAAAAGAGCATTATCAGTTGATGAGTTCTTGAATTCTTGATAGAACCGGCGCTTCACTTATGGCATAAGTATTTTTAACGGGGGATAGATTTCAGTAATAAGAAACAGAGGACTCTGCTTTCTAGGAACATAATTTCAAGTAGTCGCATTCGTGCTGAATAACCTACTGACAATCATTAAGCTTATGAGCACAAGAATTAACGTTTTATGTTTGGGTGGGAAATGTCTTATAATTTCATAAATATAGGTTTCTTGGAAATTAATTATATGAAATTTGAAGACAAAATTTCAAGTTGGCAAGGACAACCCGTTTATGAGGCTCAATCTGTTTACAAAAGATCTGACCATTCACAAAGGATTTGGACTGTTTACAAAGGATCTGATTTGGATCGGGTTGATTTTTAAAATTGGCTGTAGGGTGCAAGATCAGCATCACGACGGCCTCTCCGATCTGGCTTCCTCTCTCTTTTTCCCTCTCCATGTTTCACCTCCAACTCCGGCAATGATAGGAATTGAAGAAGAAGATAAATGAACAAGGCAAAGAGGTGAAAAATCTATGAAAAAAGGGCCACAAATCATTCAACACAGAGTATACCAGAACGATGCATATGCCGAAGATGACGACGAACACTTAGATCCGACCTTTGTTTTTTTTCTCTGATCTTCAACTGTGATCCATCCATTGGTTTTTTTGGATGCCAAATTTTATTTTATTTTATTTTTTCTTTCATGAAGTTTGTATTGGAGTAGAGAATTAAGGTTTTTGACTTTATCTATCTTACACAAAATTATCGGATTGGATTCTTGATATCTTGTATTAGAATTAGGTTTTTTGTTTGGTTTGAATGGTAGTTGACAGAGATTTTAGGGTTACCAAATGAAATGAAGCTGAGTGGAGGAATACCAAATAAAACGGGTTAACTCATTAGATATGGGTTTGCCCAAATGAAACAGTGGAGGAAATGGGTATGAGTTTATATGCACTTATGGGTGAGGGGTAAAATTGGAATTAAAATGATAAAATAGAGTTTTCATATTTAGTTTTTGTCAAAAATTGATCAAAGGAACTTATTTGCACCTTTTTTTAATATTATGGATTAAAATTCACATTTTCATAAAGTATGAATTAGTTCTGCACAATTTTTATATATCAGAGAGTTTTTTGCACTTAACCCTTATAAATATTAAAAATATTAATTAATCAACAAATTATTAAATTTTAAGTTTTGACGCACATATTTTTTAGGACCAGGATCACCTCCAGTCCCACAGTAGCCCATTTCTTCCATTTTGTGTTGATGAACAGTAGTTACTAAGGTGAATAAAAATGTTTATTTGTTTTATACACAATTTCCATATATATATCTATATATATATATATGTATACACTGTTCACAAATACTATTTCTTCTTCCTTCCCTTATTTTTAACAACCCATGTCAGCAACCCAAATCCTGCCATTTTCTTTTCACCCAAAATATTGATTTTGATTTCTTTCCAAAATATTTCAGCAACCCAGATTTTGCAGTTTGCGTGGAGATTTGGAATGCTTCAATCAACCCAAATCCCGCCTTGCTTAGATTTGCCAAAGATTTCAGAGAGGTTTCAGAGAAAGAAAGTTAGAGAGAGAAAGAGATCGTATTTTTAGTTATTTTCTTCTTCTTCTTTCAAATCCTGATAATTCTCTTTGATTTGTTTCCAAAACGAATCACAAACAAATTACACATCTATTTATCAATCATTTTGTTTTCATAAATTTTTCAGATCTATTTCACCATTTATTTGTTTCCATAAATTTTTACTTCCCTTTCTTCGAATACTAGGTCATTTTATCAGTTTGTAATTTAAATCAATATAAGTTGTACACAACATCCCAAAATAATCCTACCAAAATAATCCTAATAGATTATTTGTACATAACATCTCAACAGTTTGTAATTTAAGTCACTATAAATTGTACATAACATCCTAACATAATCCTACTTAACATCAAGCAATACGTATTTTGTATCCCAAACAATACTAACTATATTTCATGCTTATATTATATATAAAATCCCAACAAAATTCTACTAAAAAGAGTGCGAATTAGTGATGTTTGTGCTCTTTAATTAGATAAGAAAAAACAGATCAAAAATCGAAATTTATATGAATAAAGCTTAGATCTATGGATGATACTCTGGAGTTTTTGCATAATACTCGCATAATACTCCAGTGAAATTGCATGGGTTTTTGGAGTGTGTTCGGGTTTTGAAGTGAAGTTTTGAAATTCAAAAATTACTGTGACCTTGGAGAGTCCATTAATGGAAGCTTTTAGAGAGAGAAGGAAGAAGATGACATTTTGAGAGAAGACAAGTGTATTTTAGATACAATATTTAAATATGTTTATATATATGGAATACAATACTTAAAGTTTATATATAAAAAATACAAGGGTGGTGAAAATTTAGTTATCCAAGATTTTTAATTGATGTGGCCAATTCTCCTCCACTTATTTCAAAATGGTGAAAATGGCATACTATGTGAGTGGAGGTTATTTTCACCCATATTTTTTACTAGACTTTTGACTGGCCTTATTCATAAAGATTTGATTTGTAAAACAAATTGAAAATTGAAACCACCATCACCACCACCATATATGTGCCCAAATCAAAGAAGATTAAAACCACTTCAGATATACATATACAGCGAGATCAAAGAAACCAAATGAAAATTGAAACCCGTATGTTTGTGTGTATATATATATATATATCAGCTTGAAACCCATATATATATATATATATATATATATATATCGACCAGCTTGAAATGGAATGTTTATTAAAATTTGAGTTAATTGAAAGTCAAGTGAAAATTGACAAGATAACAAGACTTCAAATTCGAAAGGGCAGAGTAACATAAAATTTTCTCCTCAATCATAACAAGTCTAATGAATAATGACCATGCTAACCACCAGCTATAAAAGTACAAGTTTGACAAACCCAAGAGGTATAATCTTTCCTGATGTTATTGTTAAAAAAATTATTGACTCAGTGATATTAATCAACTTTTCAAAGAGTGTCAATGCAATTTATCTTAATATTTATAACCCAACTCCTCAACCAAATCAACGACACCAAATCATAAAAAAAATAAAAATAAAAACAATCTCGCATTGACAGTAAAATAGAGTGAATCGAGGTTCGATGTATCATTTATATCGATATTTGTCATGACCAATACCGCAATGATGTAAACATAACAAACAACGTCAACAGACCTGTAGTTTAGCCGTATAAGGCTCCTACTTTTCAAAGGGAAGTCAGGAATTCGAATCTCAGTGGAGGCAGTGTGTGTAAGTCCCAACTAGAGAAGAGAAAAAAAAAAAAAAAATTATAAATAATATCTCAAACTACAATATCATAGAAAGAAGGATATACCAACAACTGCACACACACTCCTATATTGGGCCCACTAGCGAGTAAGGTCTTGGACCTGACCTGCGAGTCGCGAATCAACATACCACTCCAGGCCACTACACGCGCTGCAAGCGCGCGTGGGCATAGTGCTGGCCCGGGTGTTCTTCAACTCAAGTTACAGCCATTAAAAGTCACTCAAACCTCGATCAAACAGAGTCCCAAATTCGCACAAATCAACTCCTTTATCCTAGGAAAGTGATTTGTAGGTCGATTACTTAACACCCTTGCATAACATCAAATTTAAAACCTGTTAAAGAATCATATAGAAGCACCATATAGACCTCCAAAAATTTAGTTAAACTTCTTGGTTTAATTCATCAAGTCAAAGTACTATAGGCAACTAGATACAGAAAAAAAAAAAAATCAGCTACTAGTCAAGTAATGCAGCCTTCATCTTTCCTTGCATTCACCATCTGCCTTCTCTTCCTTTGCATTCTGGGGAATCCTTCCAAAAAAAAAAAAAAAATATCAGCTACTAGTCAAGTAATGCAGCCTTTATCTTTCTTTGCATTCACCATCTGCCTTCTCTTCCTTTGCATTCTGGGGATTCCTTCCAAAAAAAAAAAAAATCAGCTACTAATCAAGTAATGCAGCCTTTATCTTTCCTTGCATCACCATCTGCCTTCTCTTGCTTTACATTCTGGGGATTCCTTCCAAAAAAAAAAAAATTTAATCAGAAAGCAACTGAGCATAGAAACATCTAAATCTCTTAATTTAGCGATGAAACTGGTGGCTAATCTACATAATAGAAAAAATAACAAGGATTGGGTAGAGAATATCAGAAGCTGCAAAGAGGCTCATTTACTTGAACACCTGTTTTCCTGAGTTCAGAAACTATTTTCAGTCCATTCAGTATTCACAGCCTCAAAAGAAGCCTGTAATGAACTACAACTCATCAAAGTAATGGGAATAAAGAAAAGAGGTAAAAAAAACCCAGAATTTTCACACACAGAAAAATATAGAAACAACTCATCTGTTTGAAGCTCTCTCTCACAAGGGCATTCCAAGTACTAGTTCACTTATAAGTGAACCTATCAAACATTCTTCAAACGATGCAGATACATCAAAGCATCTCAAAGAAAGGAATATGTAGCAAAATATGGATGGCACTAGAACTAGTATCATCTAAAACAGATGTAATTGCTGGAAGTTATCAAGAAAGAAATATGTAGCAAAATAGAGAAGCATTTACAATGCAATTAAAGTTGCTTCAAATTCTATGCAAATATCTGTACTATGATCTTAAAATAATCATCAAATGTAACTTGAACAACATAATCTTTTACTTGCATCACCAAATCGAATTCAGCAACATCTGCAGTATAAGCTTCCTTGTTCTTCTCATTTTTTATGGCAAGCTGTACGTATGAGTAATAGCATTAAAAATACAACTTGAAGCAAGGAACCAATATTGCAGTCAAAAGGGCAATCTCTCCACAGATATCCATACAATTTATCTAATAAAGATATAAATTGAAAAATAAAGCCACTCTGTGCAGAATAATAAGGTAGGAATGTTTCTAATCTTCCACTCTCACCGCCCCATGTAAGTGGGGCATACATTGGGTAATTTCCTTTTTCAGGTTGCTACAGATACAAAGTGTCCCTTCATTTGAAGGATTGCTTACAGAAACTCTTGTAATTTGGTAAAAGCATCAACAAACTTCACATGCACTATTTAAACAAAAATACAGCTTGAAATAATTAGATCAAGTAACCCTCTTAGAATAATAAACTCTTGCTGATCAATCAACATCCGTATGGTATTATCAAGAAGTTATTTTACCGTCTAAACATGGAATGAGGATTTGCAGTGAACAAACTAAGGTCCAAGAATAATCATATTGTCATTGACAGATCTATGTAAGTAACAACTCTTTGGTGAATGAATCCAAATACCAGCCGGCTAATACGACTACTAATATAATTAAGTGTCAGTCAAAATGAAGCTTTACATCCATGCTTAACAATATAATACTGTAATGACTTTAAGACATGGCAAGGGTTGGCTCATCCTGAGCAGTATAAATCAAGGCAAAAGAAGAGGCAATTCACACCTGACAAATAACTCTGTGTGGAGCAATTTATTTGACATATCGAGCTCTGGCTTGTAGACTGACTGTGACTGACTGATTGATTTTGGGGAACATGTTGCCTACTTTGTAAGTCTAATTCTTTAAGCAATTCTCGATGCTAATGCATATATGCTTTTTGGACTAAAAGACAGAGGAATGTACCAGTTTCTTCTTCGTCAAGAGATAGCCTAGTGATTGTAATGCATGCTGTTATCTTTATTTGGTGTTGATTGGGTTATGCCAGGATTGCTAAGAGAGTTCCTTGCTCGTTGGCTTGGGGATTCAGTAAAACAGAAGAATTCGGGCAGCTTGGCAGGCAATGTCTCACTGTTTAATGTGGAGTGTGTGGGGAGAAAGAAGTTGTAGAACTCCTGAAGTTGTTGTGATCCATTACATGGATTGGAACACGTCATGTTAATTTTTTATGATCACATTTTTTCTAGAAATTTTCCAAAATCTATACATGCATTTGATTGTATAGATAATCTGGCTTGTTTGGTATACGTCGAGCACTCTCCAACTCTGGTGCTTTAATCTATATAATGTTTCTTATAATTTATATATATATATATAAATATATATATAGCTATTTCAAAAAAATTTTAAAAAAATGTTTAATTTTTCTAAAAGTCTTCCTTATGTATAAGTGTAATCAAAACAATATACAAGCTTTCAGATTCAAAAACTTCAAACCAGTACATTTTTCTAACTAGCTGAACCTCAACCAATTCTAAACAAGAATAAAACCGACTCAGTACATGACCAGCCACCTACTACTATTTTCCAATAACAACCCGACACCAACTAACACGACAAATAAGCCTCAATTACTAAAACATATCAGATCTAAAAGATTATTAAAGGTAATATTGATTATGAAAAAATCCTTCAAAATATAGGAAGCTGACAATGTGGTTCACCAAACCCCACTTAATCAGGTAATTTATCATGCAGCAACAAATAGCAATAGTGGGATCCAACTTTTTATCCAAACTTTCCTCTATTTCTCTGCCTTCGAGGTCAAAGGAAGAGGTTTTGTTCATTACAAATGAGAAAAGAAGTAGAGCACGAAGAAATATAAAAGAAAACATCACCCAAAGAAAAGGGGGGCACAAATCTCCTGAGAAAAAAATTTCCTTCTTAAGCAGTTAAGACTTAAGAGCTTTATCCTCACTCTCTAACCGCCTTAACTCCAAGTCAGTTCCAAATCTCATAGGTCAAAAGCCTTTCAGACCAAGGCCTATATCTCGTGTCTTGCCTAACCAATAAATAATGAATAATCTCCTGCAATAATGATGCATAATTGGTGGAGCCCCATAGAGCTGGTCATGCAAAATGGCTTCCTAATAAATGGACTCACCACGCTGTGATTCCAATTAAGGGTACATTTGGGTACTTGACTCCAGAGTATTTCATGCATGGAGCAAAGAACAAGAGATAAGATTATCTATGCATTACTTGGACATGATCCTGAGTTTTTTAAAATAAAATTCCTTGATTGAATTGATTGCAATCAAATTGTAACATCTGCTTGAGTTATTTATTAAAAGCTTAAGTAAAAGTTAGTCTTGAAGTTGCTTCTAAGCAAATTATAACACTTTGCCCATTATCTTGCATTTCCGGTTACATAGAATGACACTAATATTGCAGGCAAAGCCCTTATGGAATACATTTTTAGCATGGGTTGTCTCCATGAACACAAAATTCATGGTACATTAGAACACCCCTGCTATAGGCATTGAATTTTTTTGTCGCATCTAGTCTAGAATATTAAATATGACATTGAATGGTAATTGCAGCAAGTTCTCAAAATAGGAAAATGCATCTAAAAGAAAGCAAGCTTGGTCAAGCACAATAAGGTACGGAGGTTGGAGCTACTGCAGTGGAAGTTTTATCCACTGTGCTTAAAGAAGGATTTTATAGAAAATGAATCAGTAAGGAAGCTTACTTTTTGTATCCCCAACTAACTCTACAAGGGATAAATTGAGGTCATTCCAATAATTCCCTTTGAAGTGAAACTATCAGAGACTAGCAGGAAACCATCTTCAAACAATAACTTAGTGCTACCTAATTCTTATGATGAACAAGACACAACACTAGAAAAATGTATCCATATCTAGAAATTAGCATATTGCTAAAATGACCTACAAACACACATCATAAACAATTAAAAAACGTACCAATTAAGAAACGTGCTGAGAATTGTTGTCGCTGCGGCGAAAATTATTCATTGTTGTGGCTGATGCGAAAATTATTCATAGTGTGCAGCACATTGTTTCTGCCAGCTGATATGTCATGGTGACAATTCAGAATATGTTCCTTCAACCCTCCAATCTCCTCTGAGAAAACTTCAATTCTATCCTTAATAAGTATTATAGACTCTGCCACTTCTCCATCACCCTTCATTGCATCACCTACTAGCGATTCCATAGCAGAGCTTAACTGGCTCACACGAGTCTTAATACATCCTAATTCGAACAGTACAACTTCTGTATCAAATTTCATCGGGCTAATCATCGATCGAGCTTCGAGTTCATCCTTATATTTTTTCCATAAATTGTCCATCCATCCCCCCGTGGGGGAAAACACATCCTTGAAGGCTCCCGTCAGAGCACCAACCATTGGTGGTGCCGCACAGGCAATCACCACAAACGAGCAAACAAAGATAGACCCAAAGGTTATTCCAAAAATCACATTTGAGAATGTAATCCAAGATTTGGTATCCTTCAATTTTTTGTCGAGTTTCTTTTTCTTGCATACAAGATTCTCTAACATCATAAGATATTTTTCACAAACTGATTCCAGTAAAGAAGAGAAATCCTTATTGAAAGGGTTACCAATCTTGCTGAAATCATGGAGCGCCTTTAGAGTCTTGTGGTAAATTTTCTCACCTTTCTCGTGTTCTTGTCCAAACTGCTCCATAGCCGATGAAAGCTTGAGTTTCTCCTTCTGAAATTGAATCAGGCAATTTTCCATTGCAATGCAAAGCTCCAAAACCAGTACACTGCTGTCGAAGAACTCCTTCACAACATCAAAAAATTCGTCGTCCTTGAGAATGTCGTCTTTACATTTGTCGAAGAGTTCGACTACGTGCTGGTGAGAGAACTTATAGTAGGAGGTCAGCGTCTCGAATGATTTCAGGGTGAGTGGCGAAACCTTGCCGTCGTCGGACAAAGAAAATGAACTCAGTAAACCACTTGTGCTTTGTCTGAGTGCAGCATCAAACTCTTGAAGATCAGGTTCCTTCTTGACGGCGGTGTTGTAGGAAGAAAGACCTTCTTGAACGCTCGCATTGTCCTCTAGGGTTAGCTTCTTGCTCAAAAGCCCACCCATTCTTGATTCAAATTGAAACCAGAGAACAAGGAGAGAGAGAGAGAGAGAGAGAGAGAGAGAGAAGAGAGAGATGGTAAAGTAAATGCGATTGCGGAGAGGGAAGATGGTAAAGTATCACACAATACTTGTTTTCAAAATAAATACCGTGTGTTTATTTTATATAAGAATTATACTGAGTGTTCAAACTAATAAAATTTATTTTAAAATTTGCTCATAAATGTCGTGCACAAAATTTTGTTAGGGACAAAAATGTGACCAAAAAAGTTTGTTCATGAGTACAGGTTTGACATCAATCACGTTCACCTAATGATAAAATCGTTGTTTTTATAAAGAGTGATGTTATGTGCATTAGATTATTACTTAGTAAATTTTCTTGTATTTGTTTTTTAAAGGAATGATACAATTATTTTTAGAAAAATACAAAAAAAAAATTAAAAAATAACATAATTATCAATAGACAACAACAACTCATATTTGTTAGAAAAAAGTAATGTCACTATTTGGAAGAGAAGACTTCCTTATAAAATCAAATTACATAATACTAATATAACAATTTTAGATACAATAAATGAAATGATATAAATAAAGAATTAAATTATTAATTTTTTAAATACGGATACGAACACATCTGTTCGGAAAGTTGAACATTTGAATGTTCTATTAACAAGGTCATTCAAGGTCATTGGAGGTAATGTTCAATATAAACAATTAATAAAATACTGCATAATATGTCCCTAACCATCCTACTAATGAAAACCTAATTATCTCTATCATAACAACTTGACGAGTGTCATTCACAGTCGCGCATGGGACTATCTGATTACAGTCGCACATTCTATTGCTTAAAAAATTAAGAAGACTGCTATTCACAATGACACCTCTAATTGATTGAACTGTCCACTTGTACATATACACATATATACAATCTTCATTCCTTGCATACCTTATTATTTCCCCTCTCTCTTTTTCTTTTTCTTTTTTTAATTGTTTTTAACTATATATATATATATATATATATATGCTCACCATGGATGGTTTCTAACTTTCTCCCTCTCTGGGGCCAAAAAGGAAAATAAACAAAAAAAAATTTTTAAACTTTTTAGTAGTTTGGTTAGCATGAAAGTGAAAGATTTTTTTAAAAAAAAACAAACAAAAACTCTCTTACTCTTCAAATTAAAATTCTTGGCTACATTTACAAAGCAACGGAAACTAACCTAATAGCAAAGTGCTAATATATAATGCAAACCTGAAAAAGAAGAAAAGACAAAAAAAAAAAGTGTTATATAGAGAGACAAATACCAAATACGTGGACATATATATTTATTCATAAATCCAATTGTATATATAATTTTATTACTATTATTATTATTATTTTTTATTTTTATTAAATTCATAAGAGTAATTTAATTGTATATATTATTTTATTATTATTATTATTAAATTCATAAGAGTAATTTAATTGTATATATTATTTTACTACTATTATTATTATTTAATTGTATATTATTTTTATTATATTACTATTAAATTCATATGGGTAATTTTAACATGTAAAATCATTTTTTCTTTCACTCTCTTGCTATCCAAACTAATTAAACAATAAAAAAATTATTACTAACCAAATGCATAATGTGAATTGATTGTTTTTTTCCTTATATATATATATATATATAGTAATTAACCATACTGTGAATAGATTGAAAATTATACTTTTATTAATCAATCATGCAACAAATAAGGAATTAGATCCCTTCACTTAGTTGTATTTGGTATAAATAATCAATTAAAAATTATTCGGTTAAACAATTCACTCAAAGTGTTGCATCCAATAATTGTAGTGAATTGTTAGACTTACTCTTTTAATTGGTCAATTATGTAACAAATAAGAAAATAGAGTTATTCACTTAGTTGTATTTTGTATAAATAGCTAATTAAAAATTATTCTATGTGAGTATCACTACTCTTTCACATATTAACTAAAACTCAAATTTTATAATATTAGTTCAATTAAAACTTAACTAAAACTCAAATTTTATAATATTAGTTCAATTAAAACTTAATCTCATAATATTATTTCAATTAAATTATATAAAACCTAATAAAAAATCCACTAAGGTGAACACACACACACACATCTATATATATATAAAAGATTATTTAACAAAAAAAGAAAGAAAGTAAAGAATGAAGTGTAGCTATATATATCCAATAAGGAAACAGAGAAAAAAAGAATTAGTTAAAAATAAAAGAAAAAAAAGAAATATATGTAACAAAGGAAAGAAAAAAAGGTTATTAGGTATAAAAAAAACAGGATAGATGCCTCGATAGCCGAGTAGGATAGATGCCTCAATAGCCGAGTAGGTTAGCACCTCTGTAAATTTTGCAATGTCAGACTCGACTCTCTGCATTAATCTAACTTCTAACCCTTATTGCCTTTATAAATATATATATATATATATATATATATATATATATATATAGGCATAAAGGAAAAAAATAATTTAAAAGGGTAATTTGGTTTTAAAAGTTGAAATTTTATAATTGAAAACATTAATTACAACTTTTATAATTAATTTTTAAATCGAGAGAATGTGAGATATAATTTTAGAACAGAGGTTATTTATAATTCAAATTTGTGACCTCAGATTACAACAAAATGAGCTTGCAGAGATTCATATGAAGATTATTTTATTTATTTATTTATATTATTTTTTTAAATATGAAGATTAAATAAGGCACTTTGAATAACAATTTGAAGTCTCGGGTGAAGCTGTTGCATAATTTAATCATTACCAGAAATGCCATGCCACAAAAGCCAAAATAGATGACGTGTTTAATTAATAAATAGGTTTCTTTTGACTCCAAAAATAATTAATTCATCAAAGTGACAAAGTCTAAATGCATTTTGGACTGTCATTTTTAAATGCAATTTTAAATTCTCAAGTTGAAATTGAAATTATAGGTGAGTTAAATGGTCCATTTTTTTTAATCGTAGCCATGTAACATTTTGTTTGACATCCCAATACCCCATTACTCAAATCTTCAATTTTTATTTTTTATATTTTTCTATCCAATTCTTCAAATTTATTTTTTATTTTTAGCAGCAATTCTTCAAATTGAGACGATCTATTCTACACTATTACATCAAAATAATTTAAGGCAAATATTCACTTTTCCTCTTCTTCTTTTTATTTTTTCCCGGAAATTAAATATGCCTTCTGTTTTGAGTTTTAGCATTATTTTCTTCCTAACCAAACACTGCCATAAACGGAAAACGCAATAAAAACAATAAACGGGCCACCCAGTCCTACCCGTGTGTTAAAGTACAAATTCAGATTTCACGGAAGGGAACGAACCCTAAGTCCGATTCTGCACTAGCTATAGAATTTGTGGTAAGTGCTAGACCTTGTTGTTATTATTATTATTATTATTATTATTATCATGTTCATCTTATGATTATTTGATTCCCTTTGTTCACAGCTCTTCCTGTTTGTTTGGTTGCCGAGAAACTGGAGAAAATAAAAATAAAAGAAAAACTAGTATGATCCATTAAGTTGATTTATTTATTTTAGGGCTTAGTGGCAGACAACTCGCCATCCCAATTTTCCCCAGTTTCAGACGAATTTATACGGATAATACAATTTTCTGTCACTCTTCTCTCTGTGTAATTTTTGATCTGATTGTGTTTCGACTAAATTCAACTGATACAACTGATTGTGTTTGACAGCAGAATGGATTTAAAACTTGGCCTGACCTCACTCGTAATTCAACTTTAGGTCAGAAAGTTCATGAATTGTTGTATGTGGTCTTACGATTTTATGATCAGGTTGAATGATGTTCATGGTTCCGAAGCGCTAGTATTGCCAGCATCTATATGTTATGTATGCACATAGACAGAATCAGACATATGTACATGTATATACAGTTATACACACATAAATACTCCATGTAACAAGAGAGGATTGGTGAGAGTTAACAAGCTACCTTGGTCCTGATGTGCTTGCTTATATCTAAATGTGTTTGAGTGAAATCGTGATGCGTGGTAATGAGGAGAAGAAGAATGGCAAAAAATCATATTGATCGAGCGCACACACATTTGTTTTAAGTTAAAATAGTGGTGGGTACTTGTGTGCGCAGAAATATCTCCAAGTTCGTCATGAATGCTGATATCATACATGCCCTATTATAATGGTGAACTTGACTTGGACTTGAGTTGCCAGGAAATGATACGGTATTGCATAATTTCACTTTTCTGCGATTTGTTATTTTTTATTACCAAGGCATATTTACAGTGATCTAGCCTGTACTGTGGTTTGACATAAACTCCTGCATTAATATGTATATATGCATTTCAAATGAAGTTATCTGATTTTTAGGTTTTATAGCTTGTATATTCATCAATAACATTCAGATTATTGATATCTAGAAGAATTTTGCTTGAATTCAGGCTTAAGGTTGATTGTTTCTTGTCATGGATGCTCAAGCAAAAAAGAAGGCCTTGTATCGTGCTAAATTGAATGCACAGAAGCAGAAGCGCATAGACTCTCCTCTTGTGAGGTAATTGGCTGTCTTTATGGTATATGGCATTTCCTCCAATGCAGCATTAAAACCACACAAGGTTCTAATTTCTATGCCTATACAAGATACATATAGGTAACATTTAATACTTGGCAAATCTAGTAATTAAGCAACATATATTCAAAGAAAGAAAATGAAAATAAGGAGCTATTTTTCTGTCTATCTTGTTAATGACATCTTATGTTTGAGGTGCTGTTTTGTGTATCATCATTGTTGGATAACTATTTATTTTGAGAAATAGCATCCAGTCCAGACTGCCTTGGTTACAGGACATGCCATATTTTCATTTTTAGAAAAGTAATTGTCCTACTCCCAGCACAAGTCAAAAAATGAAATAAAAAGGTAAAATAAAAAAATAAAAAATGGGGACACGGAATAATGGAAAACATGACTGTAGCTGGACACATGAAATAAAAAAGATAGGCTCCTACCAAGTTACCAACCAGAGCTTGACATCTGGCTTGCGGACAGGACGATCACGCAATAGAGTTTGGCTTAAGAAAGGGATGAAAACACGGCATGATGCTTAGGTTCACAGAAAGGCCGTTACAGTTGTGGGAGCTGTGGAGCATAGTTGAACCACAGTGATATAACAGTATGGTCTTTACTGTGGTCTATATAGCAGAACAACATGACCCAACTAACTTTAAGATAATTTATGACATTGTCATAAACCATGTATCATATTACGGAGGGGGCAGTTTTATGACAGTGGTGTTCATGGTGTAGTGCTAATTGTGCTGATACATGATCACAAACTGGAAATTTGGGTTTGTTGAGACATGGTAAGTTGGGCAAGCCGAAGTGGGAGGAGTCACACGAGATGTCTGCAGCAGTCCAAGCGTATGGATGCAAACTACCCTTGGTTCTCCTTGCACCGCGATAAGGTACCACAAGTAGGACATCTGGTGAGCTAAGTGTGTTCATTGGATACGATATGCCCAAACTATATGGAGTCTCCTATAAATTTGGGGGGTCAATCGGAAAGTATTCTACGGTATTGTCTCTTTCCTCCTAGTTACGCTACCCTTTCTTCCAACCTTGACTTTCCTAAGGTCCCTACCTTGGCAAACTCTTGAATCACTTCTCTCCTCCTTCTGATAACTCGACTACCCAAACACACACAATAGTGTTAAACTAGAAATTGGTTTGGTAGAGGCATAGATATTTTGTTACTTTTTAGGAAGTCCCATAAATTAGGTGGAATTCATTGTAAGCATGCGGCTAATAAGGAACATCAGTATGTTATCTTAGAATTCGCTTTCAAGGAACCCCTATCTCTTACAAAACTTGGTCTGATGATGGACTGTTTTAATTAGGATTGGAATCAGGTCATTTGCTCCTGTCATTTTTAGGAGTTTATTGTTTTAAAACATGTTTATGTTTGTGCTTATGCATCCGCGTGATTGAGGCAGTTCCTTTTAGTAAGCAAAATACTGTTATTCTCATGAAAATTTTATCATTATCTATTATCCGCAATGATGGATATGCATGATCAAGATATTCTGTAGTGTACGGAGGTATGAGGTCTGCAAACTTTTGATATCTCTACTCACCCCCCCCCCCCCCCCCCCCCCCCCCGGCCTCGTGGTCTTCCTGCAAACTTCTATCTTTAGTTAATATATTTATTATATTGGTTCTTTAAATGCTGAGTCGAGATGATGACATGATTTTTATAACTATAATTATTTGGGTGAAGGTTCTCATTGCATCCTTTTTGTTTTCCTTTCCATCTTTATGCATATAGGTACAATGAATCTGATCAACCAGTATGTAGAGTTTGTGATGTTGTTTTGAAGTCCGAGTCCCTTTGGCCTGCACACCAAGCTTCTCGTAAGCACCATGAGGTAATACTTTACTGGTCCAACCGTATGACAGCAACTTTGACACATAAGCACATGCATTGCCATCTTGCAAAATATTGTTGCGCACTTAGTTTTTTTCCAGTAAATTTGTTGCATGCTTAAATACCAGGAGAATATTTTCATTTACTATTAAAATAAGTTAAACTGCATATAATGTTTAAAATTTAACACATGCAGCAAATTATGATAAATACAGGCATCTTTGTGGTTACTGATTACTAATCTGCAAAGTACTCTTGACTCTACATGACAGCCCTGAGCCTCCCACTGTTCCATTGGGGCCACCTTGTGTCTTGCTTGGCTAGTACAACCTTTTTCAAGTCAACTCAAGAAGCCTTAATAGTTTGGCCTAACATTGGTGGTAAGCTGACAGTTTTGAGGAATGTCCAACCAACTGCTTGGCTGATGCCTTGTGGAAATAATACTCATCATGAAAATGACGCCCCGTCTATTTCTCTTAGTAAAATTCTCATTCCTTACAGAAAGGGTATTTATCTTGTGGACATTTCAGAAGGAGATGCACTAATTTAATAGTTATAGCTGGAAGGGTATTGTTTCTTGAGACCTTTAAGAGTAGGGTTTTTAAATGTGTGCCGGACAAATGGTGTCTTTTGGAGATGTGATAGGTCACATAAAGGCATTTCTTTTGGAACCCAAATGTTTAGAGAAAACCTCAAGCATTGGAAATTCATCAAGCCTCTTTTGGTGTTGTTCTCTGATGGGGTGTTATTTGTATGATGAGTATATTTGGAGGTATAATAAAATTGATTTAACAGTACTTATATTTCTTAGATCAACTGTATTTGTGCATGAGTTTTTATAATTGACAAAGAACATTGAAAGTCCTTGCTTTGATCAAAGTATTATTATTTGGTTGAATTATGGATTCGTAAAACCTTGGGACCCTACTTGTTTTATATGTTGTATAAAGCTGACAGCGGAAATGTGGACTGATTACAAGTGTATCCTTAGTTTGCTTCCACCCTTTTGGGTCATTAATTTGATCCCTGGACATCAATTTCTTAACGTGAGCAGGGAATAATTTTGTGATGTGAATTTGATTCTTGATGTTTACCACCTTTAAATTATCTAGTGGTAATTAGAGATGCAAATGAACCGAGCTGTTCATGAACAGCTCGGGCTCGGCTCGTTAAAAGTTCGGCTCGGGCTCGTTCGTTTAGTAAACGAGCCGAGCTTGAACACATTTTTGGGGCTCGTTTAGTAAACGAGTTAGGCTCATTTAGTAAAAAGTTTATTTATTTATTTTTAAAAAAATTCTATACAATTTTTTTAGCCCATATAATATAAATTCAGTCCAAACTGTGTGTTCAATAGCCCAACTTTTTTCTTCATTAAGCCCAAGTTCTTTTAAATTGAGCCCAACTCCACTAACCTGTTAACCCTATCATCACATATATATTATGTATGTATCAACCATTGATTACATTTGACTATTTGAGATAAGATCCTAAGTTCCCACATCCAGCCGCAACAGATCTCGCAGTGACCTTCTTCCTCTCTTGCGCATCCTTCTTCCTCTCTTGCTGGTCGGCTCTCTAATCCCTTTCAATTCAACACATTTTCCTCTCACTCATCAGTGACGTTATCCACAGATCTCTGTCTCTCAAATCTCTTTCTTGAGTTTCTTTTCTCTTATGAGGTCTCAATCTTATTTTAGTGTTAATGGGATTAGAGGAAGATGCATAGAATGGCGTTCAATGAAAGAAATGCAGCAATGGATTCATGGATTCCATATTTGATTCGTTGAAAACACAGATCTAAAGCTTTTTTTTAATATTTTTTTTTTCCAGGCGAGCTCGAGCTTGCCAAAATTCTGGCGAGCCGAGCTCGAGCCAGGTTTGTTCAGGCTCGCCCGAGCCCGAGCCCACTCCTGGCACTGGCGAGCCGAGCCCGAACATGGTAAAGCTTGGCTCAGCTCGGCTCATTTGCAGCCCTAGTGGTAATCTTGTGGTTTTGAAATAAGGTTCGTGGAGACTGGGATGCTTAGGAGTCGTTTATGGGCTCTAGTGCTTCAGGTTTTATGCCTTTTGGTCAGCTATTGTAGAATTAATTATGTTATGCGTTACATGTGGGGTTCGATAGATACACTTCAGTACTCAGTAGCACAATTTTCATCTTTGTTGTACTATAATATAGTTGTATATATAATTTTTGTTAGTCAAGTATGCAATTATTAGTATAAAAATAAATATATTGATCAAAGTACAGTTTGATGCATATGTACTTGTGTATATTGCTCGTTCTTCTCCATGTTCCTGTCCTAACTCTAATTCAAGAATCATTGTGTCAGCATATGTTTTGGCCTTTTTGGCTTCGGCTGGTCTGTTGTTTCGGGATGCGTTCCCCTTTTGAATGCTTTCTAATACATATTTACTTAGCAATATATATATATATATATATATATATATATATATGTTTTGTACTTTTGACCCGTGTTTATTTTTGCAACTTTGAATAATCTTTCAAACAGTATATCAGGGAGAACATAGGGGGAACTTTTAGAATATAAGTGTGCTAGCTACTTTCTTTTTCAATATGTACTTCAATTGTTCAAACATTGCTCCAACTGTTTAATTGCTTTTGTAGAAGACTTTATGCCACTATTCTATGTGTAAACCTTAAGTTCTTTTGAATTTTGTTTGCTGTTAGTATTATTGATTGAGATGCTTATATTTGGACAGGCGATTAGTAAAGTTAAAGCTAATGCTGCTGGGGTAACTCATGTTAACAATGTAAAAGCTGAGCCCCCTGTAGAGCTGCGTAAACCGAAACCTGTAGATACTATGGAGTTGCAAAATGCTAAACCAGAACCCTCCACAGGATTGCCTAAACCTCGGCCATCATCTGTTCTTCCGTCAGATTTTTTTGATAATCAGGAGAAAAAGAGGCAAAAAGTTGGTAAGAATCTGTCATGGACATTTTTTTCTTCTTCTTTTAAACAACCCCCTGTAGATTAGCTGCAGAAAGATATTATAGCTGTTTTAGTGGAGGCCTAGTGTAACAGGGTTAAGTAGTGAGTGCTAAGAAAATCATTCAATTCTTCCATAAACAGAATGGGAATAATCCAGTGGAATTGTGGGTGGTGGTAAAGGCCTTTAATGGTGTTGCTACTTCGTCATTGCCTCTGCCTTTGGGCAGGGTAATGGGAGTTCATCTAGCTGCCATGTCTGTCAGCCTTAATTCTTTATTTAAATGTTGCATTCAAAATATAAATGAAATTCTGATTTTTGGGATTTGGGTAAAATGCATGCATAATATATCATTTAGACTTTGGGGATTTGGCTAAAATACATGCATAATATTTCTAGAGTAATAATTTATTTGACTTGACATATCTGCCAAAATGAAAATTGTTTATCTAACTTCATAATGTTTCTTGGAATGGATGCTGCCAAATTAGGGAATCCTGATTCTTACAAAAAGGTAGGGGTTTCTGCTCAAACTCAAGTAACTGAGCCCCCGGACTCGGATAATAAGATGGATGGATTTTCTAGTGCCAAGGTTGTAGAGACAAAAGCTGATGAAATTCAGCCAGCCATGGAACACACACAAACATCAAAAGTCATTGTTGATTCAGAAACCAAGCAAGTGAAGGGAGCTCTCCCTGAAGGCTTCTTTGATGACAAAGATGCTGATCTACGTGCACGTGGCATTACACCTGTTAAGCTAGATGCCAAGTAAGTTACTTTGTGTACAACCTGCATCTTTTAATGTTCTCAATTTTCCTTTAGTTATTGTTTTCTTAAAAATGCAATAGTCCACTTGCCATATTAGTATGGTCTACATCTTTTCCTCTTTTCTCTTAGTTTCTTTGCTTCTTTTCTGGATTGTAGCGTTTCTTAACTTTCCTTTCCTTATTATTATTGTATCTAATTTTATTTTATTTATTTATTATTTTTTTTTTCAATGCATTATGTTTCATATAAAAATTTTGATATTTAATTTTTTTTTCTCACATTGTTTGAGGAGGAGGGTCTGAAAATTTGCGTTGACATCTACTTAAATGATAAGAGTTCTAAGTTGTAAAGAGGCCCATGAATTGATCATCATCATCCTGATTATCGTTACTGTATGCTTCTTTTATTTCATATTTATCAATTAAGGAATTTGTCAGGTACATTGCCCATTGGTTTTGTTCAGGGGAATAGTGGCCAATCTTAATATTTCAGTTCATCTCGATTTCTCAAATGGCTAGTGGTGGTGGGGTTTGGTGTTTGATGTATTGTGGTAGCAATCATGTGAGGGACCAATGATATATATATGTTGAGCTTTACAGTTATATTCAGTTCTCCATGAAGAGATATGGTGAGGATTTTATCAAAGAAATTTTATTGCTAGAGGTGGAACTTGGAAGTGGTCAAATTATTGTTTAAAATTGGAAATTTCACGATAGAACCTGAGGAAGTTGGATAGTTGCAGGGTTGTGCAAGGTCTTCACCTAGGTTTTTGGCAGTTGCCTGGTTGGATGAAGATTACTATTTCTTCTATTATTTCCCAAAAGAGACTTTTTCCATCTACTGGCTTTGTACTAGTTTTTTGTTTGGTACTTTAGGAATGCTTGAATATGATTTTCTCTTCTTTAGAGGAGGTTTCTTTCATCTTTCAGAGACATACCGTATAGTTGTCATATTGTGTGATGATTTTTTTTCCCCTGCAGTAAATCCATCGTCAATTCATTAATGGGAACAGTTGAGTGACCATTTCACCCCTAATAACAATTAGTGAATTTTGTTATGATTTTTCCATCTTTTTAGTGATATGCATGAGCTGCTCTTGCCTGAACTTCAAATGGTCAGGTCTAAGCAAAGTTGATGCAGTAGTGCTGCGTATATTGTGATTTTGTGAAAGATCCAATAATGGCCAATTGTAGGCCTGTATTTGTGAAGGCCATAATTCATCCCTCATCAGATACGTAGATGTGACTGCTGATGTGGATAATTTGTTGGGTATCATTTCCAAAATTTTCTTCTCTTGAATCAAACTGTTGAATTTGGTCGATTTAGGATCAATCATTCGTTGCAGCTGTTTACTCTATACATGCCTTTGGTGGAACTCTTTAAGATACTTGTGTATTGGGAATGTGCATTGGGCAAGAAATTGTTTATGCTGCTATGGTATGATTAATAAGTTGTTTGCATGCTTTAATTTTCTGTGGGAACTTTATTTAATTTTTTAAATACTATAGTAACAGATGAGGGTTTTTTGTCTGATATAATAATTGGAACCTATTTATTTTGTTATAAACTTTAGGTCAATTTTATAGTGACTATCTTCCCATATTTTTCGTCAAAATACATTGGTAAATGGGTAACATTTAACATAAATCAGATTAAGGATTAGAATATATGATTAAGGTCAGTTGATTAAAATTAAAAAGCCACTACATTATAATATCTCAGGTGTATCCGGGAACCTTGACTCAGAGCTTGGTTGCATGTGAATCTAATATCATTACCACCTCTTTCTGTGGCCTCACCAATACAGTGATCTTATTTTACACTGATGCAAGACATGCGACCTCTCGTAGGAAAACATAAGATATATATGTAGTTGTGACCCAGGGGAAAACAAATACATGTAGTTTTGTATTATTAGCCTGCTGTGGTGCATTGGCAGGAGAATTCGTTGTTATTTCACAATGTTCAGGGACATTCAAGCCCTTGCTAGAAACCACAGTGGAATTTATAGTCATTTAGCAAAACTCTGACTCCCATAGTCTGGCATAATTGAACTCTATGATGCAATATGCTGTTGTGCCTTTTTGAGTCAATTCACAACTTTTCCCCAAATTTTCTATATGTGTAATTACATGGAACAGGGCATAACTTGAGTTTTTGGCAAATCCTTGTCAGAGATGAGTACAAAGAATTTGCAAAATTGATCCAGGAGGACTTGCAAGAGGTGGATAACCGCTTGGAAGAAGAAGAGGTCAGGGCTATCTTCCTGGACCATACCATGAGGGTTATCTACAATTGAGATTTCTATCATTAATTCATTGTTGCATTTCTGTTTGCAGTATGATGCAGCTGACATGATAGATGAGGCTGAGCATTCGGAGCAAAAGTAAGTTCAGAATGGCCAAAAGTTAAAAATAAAAATACATTGTTATATTTTAATCTCATCATTGAGCTGTTAACCATTTTTTTATGTTCAGTTGTCAATTCTCCTTTCCGTTTCTGCAGGACCCTTAAGGAAAGAATGGAGATGTGGAAGAAAAAGAAAATGGAACTAAAGGCTGCAAGGTCTGCCACACACAGTAGAGGTCCTGAAGTCAAGGGCAAGGAGTCTAGGCATGAAGAGTCATCAAGTGATGATGACAGTGATGAAAATTTCACAGTTGATTGGAGGGCTAAGCGTTTATAAACACTTCTTCCATATTGCTGGTGGTTCTCTCTCTCTCTCTCTCTCTCTCTCTCTCTCTCACCCGTATATGAGTGGTTTAGAGAAGTGCTTCTCCATTTCTTGTAGCACATTGCACATTTGCAATGTTCTTTACAAGTTGTTGACAATTGTGTTTGCCAATGTGGTTGCAGATTGACGGTATCAACTGAAGCATTTGTTTGTGCAAGATCCAGATTGTTTTATTCAAACGCCATCTGATGCAGCAGGAGCCTCGACTTTTCTGGGAATCGTCTTTACCCATCAAAGGAATGCTCAAACGAGGATTAATTTTTTTTATTTTTTGTATATGGAGCATGCAACCGAGCAGAGATGAACCTGTGAAAGGCTCGAGTAACTACTAACGGAGACTTGTATGCTGGCCTAGTTAAGCTCAAGCCTGCCCTCCGATGTTTGTTTATACTTCTACCATGCCAGTAAGGACACGACTCTTCCTTCTTAGTTTTGGTTATAGTTTACTCACCAACAAATGAAATGAATAGAAGTTAGGGTGGTCGTTTTTTCACCATTTAATTTTGGTGTTCCTATGTTCGAGAAACTTTTTCTTTACAAATGACAGTTTACCCGATTAACGCAGTGGTGGTACATGTGAAATTGTTACCGTTTGTGTTTACTTCTGACTCGATGTTTGGTAAATCTGAATTATACTTGTCGCATTGCAGCTGATACATTTGCTAACTCGAGCTTTTCTAAAATAGCAAGTCGTCTTTTGGAACTGTTTTTCTGTTTTTGATTTTGAATAATTGAGCGAAACACGTGTGATTTTCACCATGATCATGAATTTGTTCCATGGTTTTGTTTTCATATCCTTCTTATTTGTTGTAATTCTTTTGATTGATTTTGATGAATCAATGGGGGTATATGAACCTTGTTAGCAAATGATCTTAGGAAAAAGGAAAAAGTCTAGTCATGTCTATCCATGCATAGTACAAGAATGAGTCACTGCTTTGTCACCTTCAGCTTCTCTTAAAAAATATATAGAACCATGAGAGTTTTATTATATTTATATACTGACATTTATATAATTAATTTCGATTTGCTTGTTTTTATTATTTTATGATCTGTTCTCTGCAGCCGCCAACTGGGTTATTAGGAAAACACCCTGACGGGTGACCACTAAAAAAACCCTAATTACTAAAAAAATCACTTGAATCAATGTTTGCATGATATATATATATATATATATGTATGTATATATGCATGTGTGTATGTATATATTGTGTTGCGCTTGCTTGCTTCCAATTTGTGTAGGTTGAGTTGATTGTTATAGGCGTAAGAGAGAGGCCAAACTACAGCTGGTGTCACAAGGATAAGGCGTTAAGCATAAAAGATGGTTTTAAAGTTGGGCCAATATTGGCAGAAATCTGGTCAATCTCGAACAACTTCACGTTACAGCAAAGGATTTAGACGCAATAAAAAACGATTGAAAATGGGTAACCCTATTTTCATTCTAAATTTTATTTTTCTTCTCTCAAGTTAAACCAAACGAAAGAGAGATCATACCAACCACACCTAATAGTGCAGTGATATTTTTTCGCTCTAAATTAAGAAAAAAAGACAAAGTGGTTTTAAAGAAAATTTCTCAAAATTCTGTTAAATTTAGATTTTATTTAGTTGAATTATTTTAGGGTTTTCCTTACCTATTTTAAGCTGAGAAATAAACTTTTATAAATACAAAAGACAAGGAATACATTTTTTAGGAAGCTAGTTTGAGGATAATCAATACCTATCATTTATTTCTAAGATTTGATCAAATTTGGTTAGCGTATCAGATAGGTTGACTAGACTATAGTTGATATTCACAAGTATAAAGTTGTATATTTAGTAACTTAATACGTACATATATTAATATATATATATATATATATATATAATTTGTTATACTGATTTCGTGATATAATTAAGTCTGGTTAACGCTAGGTTCATTATACTAATTAGCTGTATTATATTAATTAGCATATAAGCTGCCAGATAATGTATATTGACTTTCAACTGAAATGGCTATATGGATATGGACATCTGTTTGAAAGACACAGGTTGTCTGGTAGCAACATGTTTCATCATTTCAATGGTATTAAAACACTTCAACGTTTGATTATTTTATTTTATTATTTTTTATTTTTTATAGCGTAAAGGTTCAGTGCCTTTAAGGAGATTTGAATTTCGGATCTAAGCTTTTGCCATTAAATTATTTTTTGAAGTTACGTGAACTTTGAGAACATCAATATTTTGGTTACCTGAACCTATCATCACCCATCACAAGCTTTAATTTAGTGCGTGGTTAGCATTAATTTACTTGATCTTAAGTAGGATAGATCATCAATTCATCAGCAACTTGGTTAATTTAATTTTGATTAAATTTTGATTAAGTGGATTTGAACATCAACTATTTGTTTGAGTCTGAGGTTTATATATATATATATATATATATATATATATATATATATAGTATTTATTTATTTAAACAGATCTTGGTTTGTGTCACTTTGGATTTCTTTTTTTTTGTAATTAAATAAGATTTTTAATTTTTTATATGGGTGACTGATTGGCAATGCTCCAACCAAAGAAGCCAAAAGTGGAATGCCAGAGTTTATACAAAAAGGTTAGATGTTAGGTGCATGTTTAGCCACTAAAATTGTTAATAATCCGCCAGAGACATGACACTGGTTCTTCTTCCTTTCTGAGCCACTACAATGGTGCATTTAGAGTTTATATACAGATTATCTTACTACTTCCTCATATTGTTCCTATATGTATATATATATATATGTATATGTATATATATATATATATATATATATGCATGCATTAATGTTGGATGTAATGACAGTGCATGAATTTGAGCACATTTTGGATGCACATCATCTCCTGTTCATCACCCATAATTGTTTTCATCTTAAAAGTCTTAGAATCAATAGCGCAACACACTAAAGCTACAATTATAGGATGGATTTTTGGTGTCTGGAATCGTATATAGTATATCGAGTGTGGGTTTGAATTCTTTCCGTTACTTGAATCCCATCCGTATCATGGGACTGGTAGGAAGGAAGGTCTTCCAATCTGAAGACCTTTTAAACAAACGGAAAAAAAAAAGAAGAGACACAGCACACCTTGTTCAAAACCAAGGGTCATTGTCCCTCTTTTTCATAAAATAAAAAATGAATAAATAAATTGTATTGTAATAACTAGTAGTTGTCAATAATCTTAATTAATGAGAAGTAATTGCATCGATGAGTGTGTGAGACCTAGTTGAGTCACATGAACACCATAAGTAGGCATGGATGCATTTTTAATTGGATTTTGTTGGTCTTAGGCATGGTAATGTAAATTTATTTTAGTTAAAAAATGTCATTGTGTTTAATAAAATGCTTCAAACATTAAAAATGTTAATCAGGTTGGATTTAATTAATTTGGGATCTAAAGATTGACCCTACATATACTACTTCTTATGCCTAAATCAGAATACTTTTATAATCGTTGAATACTATGGTCTTAAGATATGTATCATAAACTTAATTAATTATAACAAATTCCAAGTTAATTATAATTAATTATCTTTGCTTCCAAAACCAAGTTTGCAAACCATTCTTAGTGGGGGAGCACTATACTTTCTTTTTTTTAAGTGCCAACTTGTTGAAACAATTTGAAGTTAGTGAAGATATATAAAACTAGCACTCTTCAATTAACTTTTATTTTAGCTGAACCACAAATTTATCAAAGCTCCAAAAAAAAAAAAAAAAAAAAAAAAAAAGCCATCCATTCACCAAGTTGACACTATTGGATCATTTAATTTTCAAGCCCTTCTCACCACACCAAAATTAAAGTAGGCATCGTGAAAGATTCCAACACGCGATTTTTAGAGGTGCATCATTTTTTCATAACAAATTTGAAATTTTAAATATGCAGTATTATTTAATAATTTAAATTTTTAGGCTAAAAAATTAGCATCCGAAATTAGTTAGGCCCGTTACATAAAAACTCCATCACGTGCTCCAAATTATTTTATTTATTTTTATTTTTTATTTTATTCTCAAGATTATGTGAGAGCTAGTCATGTTTGGATAATTGGAAAGGAAAATGATTTACAAGGTGTTAAATAAGTCAGCGTTGATTTAAAATAATAATAAAAAGAATTAAGGACGAAAAAAACCCCTTGTTATACAATAGACGTGTAAAAAAACACCCTGTTTAAAAAAAATACATATAACTCTTATATTATCTTTTGAGCAAATTGCTCCTAATCAATAAATTTGACCAATTTTTTTTTTTTTGTCTAAAAATTCCAAATTTGTAGCTAGTGCATGTCGAAGCTGGTCGGGTCTGTCTGAACTGCTGCTCGACGTCACCGGAGCAATAAAGAATGTGACCTTGCTTGAGCCTCTGGTCACGTTTGCATAGAGTTGTGAACCGTCACTGGTTGAAGCTCGGCGCCGGAGTTAATGGAGGTTTTCCGTCATCGAAAAATGTTTTTGAAGCTGTTATTGTCGATTCTGTTGCTTCGGTTTGAGGCTCTACTCCCGCCGAATTCAATGGAGACTTCTAGCTCGCCGCCGACAGTTCGCGGTCGTCTCTGATGCAATTCAACCGGAATTGCTTCACAGCGGGTAGGACGTCTTCCTTGCCGACTATTCACAGTTTTTGCACGCCGTTCCTCGCCGCTGATGTTCCAAGCTTAGCTTCACCGCCGCTGGACCAGGCCGTTTCAACGTCGGCATCCGTGCTCCTTGGTCAAATAATCAGCGTCGACATATGAGGAAAGAGAGTGGAGATAGAATATGAGGAGTGAGATGAGAAATAATTACGGGGTATTTTAGGCATTTTAATTATTAGATTGATAAAATGTACGGCTTCGCACAAATTAAAATATTACTCCCTTTGTTCCATCCTAGGTCCGTGTTTAAAAGTTGGAGTTTTTAAGGAAACATGCATTTAATATATTGTCTCATTTTATTAGCCCTTTTAAAATTACCAACTTGTCTCTTCTAATTTAAATATATATAGTTACACAATTTGAAATTTTTTTTAAAAATAATAAATAATGATGAAAATATAAAATTTATTTATTTTGACTTTTTTACCCATTTCACTTTTCATCCAGATTTGATATGGGCAAGTATTTCCTGTAAAACTTACCTGGTAAGCTTGTATAACAACTCAATTAGAAAAATAAAAAGTAAATTACATTAATCTGTTTTAATGTTTAGACAAATTAAACATAGATAGAATTACGGCCAGGTTAATGTAATTTATGTTATTGTCTTTTCATATAAAAGAATGATTAAATTATTATTTTTATAAAATTTGGTCCAACAGATATGTTGTAAATAAAACAGTAACTAAGAAATAAAACATTAATTAGCATGTCACTGAGCACACACTATAAAATTTAGGAAAGATCTAAATAATAAATATTGTTTAGGATTTGTAATTTATCTATATAAAAAAATTAAAAATAAAAAGCATGCCCAATGCACTCAAGTTTTGGTGGAGATTCTCCGGTGAAATTACATTATTGTTATATGAAAATGAAATGAATTACAACAGTAAAATTATGATGATATTTTATCATTTTCATGAATTAGCCCTGCAATACGTGCGACAAGGATTGAAAGAGAGGTAAATTGATCATGATGAAATTCTGAAAGATTGTGTGTGAATAAAATCCTGAAAGGTTGTTTTATGCACTAAAGCACCAGTCAAGTCACATCATTGATGCAAAATCAAAACACATTTGGTTTCGCATCTTCAAAATATAAAAAGGACAAGATATTTATGGGTGGGTTGTCCCTACTCATTATTGATTGATGTGTGAGATAAATGTAAAAATAATTTGTAATTACAAATTTAAAAAATTAATAATAAATAAGAATAAAATTTTTAAAAAAAATAAATTCAATCACAGTCTGTGATTTTTTTATTTATCATTTTTTAATTATGTAATTATAGAGATTACCATAATAACAAAAAAAAAAAATCCAAGACCAATCATACTATTATATTCTTATGATAAAAGTTCTTAAAATTAATAGAAGCACATACGGACCTATTAAGTTATTAGTGGCGGGCATTGAAACTTTTTTATTTACAAAATTATCATAAATTTTGTTAAAATTTAAAAAATGCTCTCACTCAATCTTTAATAATAGCTCACTATATATATATATATATATATTATTGTTGTTGTTCCCTCTAGAGAAATGTTTTTTGAGTCCGAATAAAAGAATAAATGTAACAAAACAATGTGAAATTTTTTATATAATTTTTTATTAAATAGTAAATAAAATTTTAAAAAATATTTTATTATACTCCAATAAGAAAATTAAAAAAGTTATTTTATTAATTTTCAATAATAGTAAATAAAATATTATTTTATTATTTTTCAATTATTCTTGAATAGTAAATAAAGAGTCCATTTTTTATTTAAAAAAAAAAAAAAATTCCAAACATATTTTATCTACTGTTTTCTCTTTTCAAAATTCAACAGTATGTTACCAAACTATTTTGGTTTTGACAAAAATAACGAGACAATTTTTCAAAACTTGTCAACCAAAAATGAAAACCATAGCGTTACCAAACAAGCCCTTAGGCCTTGTTTGGTAAAGTTTTCAGTTTTGATTTTTAGTTGTGGTTTTCAATTTTTTTTTTTTTTTAAACAACAACAAAATTCCTTTGGTAACTTTATTTTGACTTTTCATATTTCAAAACTTTTGAAAACTAGTTGCCATTTCCTTCGCAATTCCCACAACTCCAAAATGAAGTTTTGATTTTAGTATTGGTTTTCAGATACTATTATCTATTATTTTATTATTTTTCACAATTAGAGAAATATTATTTTATTATTTTTCAATATACTTGAATAGTAAATAAATAATATTTATTATTTTTAATTATAATTTAAGTACTAAATAAAAGAGTCAATTTTATTAATTTTCAATTATAATTGAATAGTAAATAAATAAAAGAGTCAGTTTTATTAATTTTCAATTATACTTGAATAGTAAATAAAATATTATTTTTCAATTATTCTCTAATAGTAAATAAAAGAGTCAATTTTATTATTTTTCAATTATACTTGTATAATAAATAAAATATTATTTTATTATTTTTCAATTATATTCTAATAGTAAATAAAAGAGTCAATTTTATTATTTTTTAATTGTACTTGAAATTTGAATAGTAATTAAAATATTATTTTATTAATTTTCAATTATACATAGTATATAAAAGAGTCAATTTGAAATAAAAAAATAAATTTACCAAACATATTCCCTCTTTTTTCTTTTCAAAAATTTAACAGCAAAAATGAGTCTAACATGTTTGTACATTATCAAACATGTTTTAATTTGACAAAAATGTGTCAAATGACAGCACAAAAAAATGAAAACTACAACCTTTTCAAGCTGGGCTTAAGTATTTCAAAATGGAAATTGATTGATTTATTATTATTATTATTATTTGTTTGACCCAAAACCTAATGATTATTAAAACTAAAATATAACTGGGGCACCCAAAAAGGTCAAAATAATAATAATAATAATAATAATAATAATAGAGTTTCTATTATTACTATTATTTTTAACACACCATAACAGAAATAAATCTTAGTGTAATAAATGGCCAGTGGATATGGACTGTATATAGTTGAGATGGCGGATAAATATCATCCCACTGCGAAACAGCTCTCCTTCCTCATCCTGCAAATTGCTCGCCACCTTCTCTCTCATCCACTTTCTCTCTCTAAAACCATCATATAAAGTCCCCTGGATCTCCGTGAACTTACATACTCAAGAAACCGTATTATCAAGGACTCATCTTTCTCGTGACTCCAATCTCAAACCTTCTCACTTTTTTCTCAAGTGTCCCATCTCACTGATTGATCAATATATATATATATATATATATATATATATATATAAGCGGCGAAATCTATATATATATACACACATATATACATATACACATTTACAATCGATTCACATTCATATTCAACTTTATATACATATATATACACGCATATATAGTCGATTCATATTCATGTTAAAACAATCAATTAATTTACAGATTTTGTGGCTAATTCGAAGATTTGGGTCTTCAATGTCGAATCATTGAAGATTCAAAGACGTGTTCTGTTCGTTGGTTAATTGATTGATTTGATCGATTGTGGTGGTGATGACTGGGAGGGGACGAAGAGAGGATGAGAAGAATGGGGTGAAAGTGGATGAAGAATATGAAGTTGGGGATCTCAGAGAGCGAATCCAATCGTCGCGTGGAAGCCGATTCGCTTTGCTCACGAACGAGTTCGGACTCAGATCGACTCCGAGGAAATTCAGCACAGAAAATGTGATCAATGGCTTCAAAGGCCTGGTCATGCGTCCTGACAACAGGTATGAGTTTGCTTCTCTCTCTAGATTAGTTATTATCTTCGCCATATCTTTTCTCTCTCTAAAAAGCAGGAAAAATATGCGGCGACACATAATATCCCCGAGTCTCTCCAAAATCCCGGCGTCTGTTTGAGTGAGAGAAGCCCACTTTCCCGGCGAGTGAGACACGTGGCATGCTTTAATTGGCCGATGTTTTTATAAGGCTGTCCAGCCTCCACGCTTTTGACGTGCCGAATATGACTTCGAAATCAAACGGTTCACGATTCACCACCTGTGACACAATCATTATCCTAAACTTTGTGTTTTTTTTTTTGAAGTATATTTTTTTTTATTATTTTTTTCAACTGGGTGGTCCAACTTAAAATTAATAATTTTTTTTTTTTAATTTAGTAATGAATAAATTACTAAATCGTGATCAGAATTTAGCCACCTACTAGCTCAATCGGGAAGATAGGTTCAAATCCTCACACTTACAAAGTAAGCACAACACAATTGCGTCCGTGTGAGTTTATTTATTTAATTAAATGTGTCACACGGTGATATTTAATATAGTTTGAATTTCAAAAGCATAGTATTGTTTTTAGAGTACTCTCTCTATCTGTACTTTGGATAAAACGGGCAGAATTCAAGTGTTGAGTGGGGGTTAGGCTGTGAGTTTCAAACGTCAGGCCTGGCTTGGTCAGGCTGTGTGTTTCAACCATATATACCTTGGGCTTTAAAGCCTTTCTGGAAATAACCATTACTTAATAAGCTTACCTTTTGCATATGCACCCAACTTTTTTAAACAGCTTCGCGCCAAAGGGGGGTGTCAGCCTCTGGGTTTCATCCATTTATATTTTGTCATGTCTTTAGATGGTTGGTTATATTCATTCATTCCTGTGTTTAGAAACCTGATAAAAAAAACTTGGAATTAATGCAGATGGTATCGGGCATGGACGAAATTCATACTGATATGGGCAGTGTACTCATCTTTCTTTACACCCATGGAGTTTGGGTTCTTCAGGGGATTGCCCAAGCACCTTTTCGTATTGGACATCGTAGGACAATTGGCTTTTCTTGTTGACATTGTCATACAATTCTTTGTCGCCTACAGAGATAGTCAGACCTATCGAATGGTCTATAAGCGAACCCCAATTGCTCTTCGGTCAGTTTTTCCCCCTCTTAAATCCCCCAGAATAATTCTAATAAATATTTTGTCTTATTTCATATATATATATATATATATATATATATATATATATATATATTTATTTATTTATTTATTATTATATTTTTTTTCTTTTATATATTGCAGGTACTTGAAATCTAGCTTCATCCCTGATCTTCTTGCCTGTTTGCCTTGGGATATCATTTATAAGGTATACTAGTCTTTCTTCAACTAAAGAGATTTTTTAAGGGCAGTGCCTTGAAGAAATGGACTCTTCTTAAATTATAAAATCTGAAATAGGTGTTATCTTCTCTGTGAATCATACGCTTGGATTTCTTAGGTGTTCCAATTAAGCTTAATATTTCATGGCACAAAGAATTGTGCATTCTTTTGTGTACTTTGATAGGCCATTGCTCTCTCTCTCTCTAGATATGCATACGTTTATGTCTATTCATTTATTAACTTCTCACTTTTGATAGTTTGAGAAAATAGATAGTGAACATGCAGTACAGATATGGAAGCTGATAATAAGATCAATGGTTTACGGAAGTTATGATTGCCATCATTCTTCTTGTACAATGATTTGGGAACAGGAAAGAGCAATAAAATATTATCATAAAATCATTAGCAAGTTTTTAGAAGAATGATAGTCATGGGGCTTCAATTTTGTGTTGGAGTTGAATTAACCACTATTTATATGAACATTTGTGCTTTATTCAAATGCTACTTATATCACATATCATCATAAAAATATAATTTCGCAGGATGATTAATCATGTGAGTCGGCCATATAGATGTTGGTCAAATGCATATCTTTTCCATGTAAAGGCCTTAAAACAGATTTAAACCTGCAGATGTATATGATGCTCTTTCTTTCGTTTTATTCCTTTTCTCTTGTCGTCGGGTGTTGGGACAGAGAGGTGGGTGAGTATTGTTTGGGTGGAGTAAGTTTGTCTCCATTACTGTTCCATCAACAGGTTTAATTTAAGACCAACAAGTCCTATAATGAAGACCGAATCTGTTATCTGACAAATATTGCCCTCATATTTGATTTTGTTACTCCAGATTTTTCTCAATTTTGTTATGCACCATGTAATTCTTTCCATAATGATTGTGAGGCAATCCATGTTAATCAGGCATCTGGAAGAAAAGAAGAGGTGAGGTACCTTCTATGGCTTAGGTTGACTCGGGTGCGCAAAGTCATTCATTTTTTCCAGACGTTGGAGAAAGATACACGTATCAATTATCTGTTTACCCGAATTGTAAAACTTATTGCTGTAGAACTCTATTGTACACATACAGCAGCCTGCATATTTTACCATCTGGCTACCACTCTGCCCCCTGAAGAAGAAGAGTACACATGGATTGGGAGTTTACAATTGGGTGACTATAGTTATTCACATTTTAGAGAGATTGATATCTGGAAGCGGTACATAACGTCTCTGTACTTCGCAATTGTCACTATGGCAACTGTTGGTAAGTTCCTTTCTCCATGAATTGAAGTGCTCATGTGGTGTAAGATGCATGATGGTTTGAGAAATATGATTGTAGCAGGTGTAACTTGTTATGCGTTAGATTTCTGTCTAATTGATACATTTGCTTCCAGAAGCTTGACTTTGATACTCTCATGCAGTATTTTTTATCCTTGGTTAAGTGCTCTCATGCAATATTTCATCATAGCAATGACAAAGATGTAGAAATTCATGGTTACCAGAAAACATATGAGCCAAGGTTTTAGGATTTTGTTCTTTTGTGATGTGTTTTTAAAATAAACTTGATTGGTTTCGAGTCCTGTGAAAAATATAACTTTTTGGTGGAATTAAGAAGTTATCTGGAAATCGAGAATAATAAGAATAGAAAATTTCTGTTTTGATAGCCTTTGAAAGAGAAGGAAATACCAAGCAGAGGGGTTAAAATTTGTGAGAAATAAATGGTCAACTTTTATAATGTTGGAAAAAGTAATTTTATTGAGTAATTATGAAATATAATTTTGTAGTCTTTACTCGAATGGTCTAGATAAGACTTGGAAACTTTTCCGTCATTATAATGTATTGTTTTTCTTTATCGAAGTCTTCTACTTTACTAAAATAAGTGCACACTTTCTGCTACAGGTTATGGGGATATACATGCGGTCAATCTGAGGGAAATGATATTCGTTATGATTTACGTCTCTTTTGACATGATTATTGGTGCTTACTTAATCGGAAACATGACAGCGTTAATTGTGAAAGGATCAAAAACAGAAAAGTTTAGAGATAAAATGACTGATCTCATTAAATATATGAACAGAAATAGACTGGAGAGGGACATACGTGAACAGATCAAAGGTCACGTGCGGTTACAGTATGAGAGCAGCTTTACTGAGGCTGATGCTCTTCAGGATATCCCAATCTCCATTCGTGCTAAGGTAAAAATTGAAGGAAGTCTGTGTTGTAACTTGTAACTCATTTATGTGCATCATTGAAAATACCACAAAATCTGAGAAGTATCTTTAAGCTTGTTAATCTGTACTTTCTGGGATTGTTGACAAATTTACTCTTCTATGCTTCTCATTCTTTTTCTTTTTTTTTTTTTTGGGGAATAGGTTTCTCTCTGCTGCTGTAATATTAACTGCATTAATTCTGATCATATAAACTTGGAATTTGCTTAACTTTCTCTTGGCATAGGTATCAAATCTTTGTGGACTATCATGTGGCCATGACCATGTTAACCACATCACTGACATTCATTTGGAATGCATAACATTTTATTTGGATGTCAAATATTAGAAGTTTCTTTATGTATAACAAAATGGTGGGAAATAAGAACCAATTCTCCTTTAGTTCCTGCTTATCAATTTGATGTCTGCTTCAATTTTATTTTCAATCTTCTATCACACAATGATGAGCTCATTATTTTTGCAGGTTTCCCAATCTTTATACAAGTCATACATTGAAAATATTTCTCTTTTCAAGGGATGCTCTTCTGAATTCATCAACCAAATTGTAAGTAGTCTTGTTGGTTGTTTGCGTGAGTAGATAATGTTAAATGCACGACCAAACACACTAGTATTTGTAGTTTTTACTCTTAATAAAGCTTATGTGGTGTTTATGTACTCTTATCCATTCATCTCCTGGTGTCAACACATGTTGGTCTGCGTATGAAAAAATAAGGCTGCATTTGTTAGTTTACTGAATGATGAATCTAGCTTTGCACTAGTTGATGAAGTTATTCCCATTCGTTTTTCAATTCTTGTAGGTAATCAGAGTCCATGAGGAGTTTTTTCTTCCAGGAGAAGTGATACTGGAACATGGAAATGTGGTGGATCAACTATATTTTGTCTGTCATGGTAGGCTGGTATGACTCCTTATCCTGTTGTCTCTTTATCATTAATTTGTGGGTATTTTCAGGTTTTCTTTTTCTCTTTGCTGTTTAAATTTTTTTTATAAAGCCCATATATTTTTCAGTTCTTCATTATTTATTTATTTTTAATTTTATGATAACTTGTACCGGTCCATCCCGTTTTCGTTATCAAATTTTGTTAAGAGTGTAGTGCATTGACTAGTCCACGTTTTTAGCTTTAATCTACTTATCCTTATAAATGATGCTTGTTGGCTTAACATATATTTGTCAGAATGTATAGTTTGCACATTTAATTTAACTCCAGAATTTTGAATCTTACAATTCTTAAGATGAATGCAGTTAGCAAATATTGTAAATCCGCTGACTCTCAACCCCACTCACTCTTTTCTCTCATTCTCATAGATCACATATTTAAATATTTAAACATCGTGAGATTCAGAACTTTTTTTTGTACAGGAGGAGATTGTTATTGGGGAAGAAGGATCGGAAGAGATTGTTTCCCTTCTGGAACCTAATAGCTCATTTGGAGAAATTTCTATTCTTTGCAACATTCCTCAACCCTATACAGTTCAAGTTAGTGATCTATGTAGGCTTCTGCGGATTGATAAACAATCTTTCTCAAGTATACTTGAGATTTATTTTCATGATGGTAGAAAAATCTTGAACAACCTACTAGAGGTAATATATCTGTCTCTATTTATTCATTGCCTATACTTATGATGTATTCGTTCAATGGCGGTGATATGTAGAAATTCATATGAGAATATGTTGAAAGTTAGCATTCAAAGTTCTTGGGCAGTTATTTTTCATTTTATACACAATTTTTTAGAAATTTCTTGTCTGCTTCAGACAACTAATATATCAGAAGCTGACAGGGAAAAGAAACTAGTCTTCGCATGAAGCAACTGGAGTCGGATATCACATTTCATATTGGAAGGCAGGAAGCTGAACTTGCTTTGAGGGTGAACAGTGCAGCTTATCATGGAGATCTTCATCATCTTAAAAGTTTGATTCGAGCTGGAGCTGATCCCAACAAGACAGATTATGACGGACGATCATCACTGGTATGATTTTATCTTTGGATATTTTAGAGTGTTAGTTCAAGCAGTTTTACTTTCTCATGCCTGTTTAATCATTCTGCTCTATTAAGGCTTTGGCCATACCCCATGTACACCATGTGCTTGTCATATTTTTTCTTTCTGTCTCACTCGATGTTTTTTGTGGTCTTCCTCTTCCCCTTTGGATCATCCTCAATGCGGAGCATGTAACTATTTCTCATTGGTCCCTTGCTAGTCTTCGCTTCACATAATTCAATTATCTTAGTTGATTTTCTTTCATTTTATCACCAATAGGTGCTACTTCAACTATCTCAGAATTCGTTTATCTCTAGTTTATCCTTTGTCACACATTATCTTAACATCCATATTTTGATCATGTTCATCTTATGAATATGCTGTTTTCTAACATTCTGACTAATAACTAACTTATAGAAATACTCTTTCAAATTTAGAGATATTTCTTGTTATTGTTCACAAAATATGCTAGAAGCACTCATTCAGTTAATCCTTGCTGCTTTAACAGCATCTTGCTGCATCCAGAGGATATGAAGATATTACACATTTTCTTATTCAAGAAGGTGTAGATATAAACATTTCAGGTAGCTTTTCAGATGGTTAATTATCATTTCTGTTTGTGGGTTTTAAGTTTTTTATATTTTTAATTTGTTTTTATGTTTCATCCATGTTATAGTAATACATGTGCATGTTCTTTTATACTGAGTAGATAGTTTTGGAAACACACCCTTATTAGAAGCCATCAAGAATGGACACGATCGAGTTATTTCAGTACTTGTTAACAAAGGGGCTTCACTAAAGATGGAAGATCCTGGTAGTTTCTTATGTAAGGCAGTTGCGAGGGGGGACTCAGATTTTCTCAAAAGGGTGTTATCTAATGGCATTGATCCAAATTCCAAAGACTATGATCACCGAACTCCTCTACATGTAGCTGCCTCGGAAGGACTATATTTGATGGGAAAGTTGCTTTTGGAAGCCGGAGCTAGTGTTTTCCTAAAGGACAGGTAGACTTTAATTACCTCTGTATCATGAACAATGTTTATAAGTCTATCCATTTAGCCTTCTCACAGTTTCTTTGTGTTATTTCATCTTAAAATGCAACTTATGACCGTTGAAGATATATTTGTTCTCAAGTGGGCTTCAGTCTTTGTTCTTTTCGAGTGTTACAGTTCTGCAATATAATTTAAACCATTAATACAGGAGCTGATTTTTACTGATTCAATGAAAATAATGCAGGATATATGTATGCACATCTCTCTCTCTCTCTCTCTATATATATATATATATATATTATACAATATATCAATATATATTTTACCTTGGCAAGAAACTCTCACACCTACTTTTTGCCCCTAATGGGACTTGAATCCTAGACCTTCCATCTTAGGAGGTGCTAGAGCCTTTGGTCCTATCTGTAGTTATATACTGTTTATATACGCTCACTTTATTATATATTCCTTTGTCACTATGTAGTAATATATATACCTTTTTTTTTTCTTTTTTAACTGGATATATTAAATCCCTCGTTGCAATATCTCATTTTTGACAATCCAATGCACAAATGTCTTATTAAACATTTCAAATCCATCTTCAGATAAACTTTTACAAAACTGAAAACACTGTGCTCGTCATATTGTGTTGAACCCATACAGTTCCATTCACACCTTTCCTGCCTAATCTTGTGAGAGTAAACTCCATTTAGCTGCATATAATCTTGAATAGTTGATTCAGTTTAGACATGATTAAAAAAATGGATCTGTTTTAAATTTTTTGAAAATTTAGGTTTGTGAATTGGATCCTGCCTGCCAACTTTACCAATTTTATTCCTTGTTCATTTCAGACTTTTGGCATAAGATACTTCTACTCTTGACCAATCTAAACCTTGAGAGACCCTCCCTTGCCAATTTTTAAACCTTCTTGTTTGCCTATTTCACCTTGAGGTCCATATTTTTATAGCCTGACCTCATAGTTTTAATCATATGTCATCATTTTCTTCCCCTTTTTACAGATCATTGCGTGTGCATTTGTATGCGTGTGTTTTTTCATCAAGTAAAACAATGCAAAAGTGACTGGGAAGTCATTTTCCATGTGAAGAATAGGGAAACAAATATACTGATGAACATAGATAACAAAGGCGGATGAGCTACCTAGCATGCTTTTAAATTAGGAAAATCTCCTATAACTAAATATTTTTTTGGCCCATTTGTACTATGCAGATGGGGAAACACTCCACTTGATGAAGGGCGAATGTGCGGAAACAAGAATATGATCAAGCTTCTGGAAGACGCAAAATCTGATCAAATGTCCGAATTCCCTGACTGCTCTGAAGTTGTGTCAGGTATTGCAAAAATACTTCTTCAACTTCTGTGTTTTGCTAACAGAAACTGGTGATATCACCTGAAATATCTATTCCTGCAAATTATCAGGACCTTTTGTTAATTATTTTGTGAAGAGAAAAAATATAAATTAAAGAATCAATGTCATACAATCGTTTAGAAGTGTAATTGTTTTATTTATCACAGCTTGTCACGTCAAGTAAAAATGGGTATTCCTTCTCCAGAGAAAAAAGTGAGGTCTAATTAGGCTTGGCTTGGAAAAACAAGGGCCTTGTGCTGACTAAACAATCCTAAATTGATCTTACTAGGTCACACATAGTTGGATACAAAGAAGTTTAGGAATACAGCTTTACGCCAGCAATGTGCTTAATGTATTTGTTTATGAGGTTTATCATTATTAGTAATCCCGTATAATAATTTCAATTAAATGCAAGTTCCTAAGCTCGATCACGTTAAGTCATGGATGATTATGCTTAAAATAACATTCGAAGAATGCATCACTATATTTCAATTATCTTGTTTTTGATTTAATTCTATCCCTATTTGATTCTGCCACTAAATGGTTATTATTATCAACAACTAATACTTAACCACCAGTTCATGCTTTGCAGACTGTAGAAGATTGTTAGAGTCACCAATATCATACTGATCAAAGCTTATCCCTATGTTTTTTTTTCTTTTTTCGGAACAATAATTTTTTTGGACATTCTTGTTTATGGTTGCTTTGAATTTTTGCTGCTGATAACAGATAAAACGAACCCGATGAAATGCACCGTGTTCCCTTTCAACCCTTGGGATTCAAAGGATCAGAAAAGACCTGGCATTGTGTTATGGGTGCCACACAGCGTCGAAGAGCTGATCAAAACAGCAGCCGAGCAGCTAAACTTTCCTAGCGGTTCTTGTATATTATCAGAAGATGCAGGTAAAATTGTCGACGTGGATATGATAAGCGATGGTCAGAAATTGTATTTAATCAACGAAACACAATAGATATGATGATGCCTACTGTAAAATGTCATCCTTGTAGCTCAGACTTTGTATTATCTTTATATCGAGTTTAAGATGTATGTATATATTTCAGCATGTTTTTCCCTGCTGCATTTCTCAGATCATACGAAATGTTGAACAAATAAATTAAGTGTTTATGATGATCACACTCTAATGTTGGAGGAGTGAGTTTGTTCAAATATTACCTATTATTGATTGAATTGGATTTCACTTCAGTAGATATGAAAAATTGTGTCAACAATCAAGGCATCAACCTTCAAGTTGCAAAACTCCTACTCTTCTATTTTCGGGTTAAATATTTTATTTAGTTAGTATATTTTTAGGTGTTTGGCAAATGTTTAGGTTGGGGTTGAGATCGAGTCCATCAAGTGGGGAGTGTAAAATAATTTATCAAAATTTGATGGATAAGTTATTTTTATTAGATTTTAATAATATTTTTTTTCGTAAATATTTTACGACAACCAAACACTAGAAAATAAAAAAATATTTTACATCATAATAAACGATCCCTAATGTCCTTGTGTTTGTAAATTCTGATTAAAACATTTGTAGTTCTTTACCAGTATTATTAACTGAAGTTCTGGGAAAATACAGCTAGAAAATCTACTTGAACTTTAGATAGTTGCTGCATAAAATTTTGGGAAGAAGAAAGTCACTTAAATGGAAGATGATTTTCCTTGTTGAAAAGGATCAAATAATAATAATAATAATTGTACTGATAAATTTAAATTGGGTATTAGGGAGAAATTATTTTATGGTCTCAATCATACCAATCACTAGCTGACACGCAAGCGAATGACCAGAACCATATAATAATTGTTATGACATAGAAAGAGTTATTTTCGCTTTGTGCAGGTAGGGTGAAAAAAAAATAAAATAAAAATAAAATAAAATAAAAAGAAGAAAAACTAAACTATTGGTAATCATTAGACCAAAAATTATTAAAAATAAAATGCAACCATTGGACTAAAAATGAAAAATAAAATAAAATAAAGAATCGAATTAGCTTTGACATCTCTCTCTCTCAGAAACATAAATTTCATGCCAAATAATTGGTCAGTCAATATTTTATTAATGTAACAAATTGGTCACCGGTGAGTAGCTAAACATTAACCTTTTATAAATTAAACCCCATTTACAAATGCAAATAAGAAATTGTAGAACTATATGATCAATATTTGTGGCAGTGGTCTGATAAATCAATGCTACAGCTCCTTGAGCGTCCCATGTACTTGATTACATGTGTCACGGTTCGTCCACATCAACTAAAGATTCTCTGCGTCAAGCCGCCACTTCTCAAACTACCTTTTAACCGTCAAGAAAACTAAACTAGACGGTCAAGATATGTCGAGTCTAGATAAGAGTGTCGCACAAACCGTCAGAACTTCCTTACAAATGCCAGGTAATGGTCTTGCTTAAAAAGGGTATTTAGGTACAATGGTATAATAAAAGCTTCCAGCTCTGGCGGGTAATGTAGTAACGAACATTTGAACTCTGCAACAAACTTCATCTTCCAAGTTGTTAAAACCTCAACAGAGCAAACAGAAACCTCTCTCTCTCTCTCTCTCTCTCTCTCTCTCTCTCTCTACACACACTCTCTCTACTTGTATAGATATATATGTAGATTTCTCTCTCTATACTTCTGTGTGTGGAGGGTTTCTTTCAAGAAGTGAAGTCTTGCAGGATTACAAGCTTCAACCATGTCAATCTCAATCTTTGAAGCCTGCAAGAAGAGGAAAAGAAAGCCAAAGCTCTTCGGACTCCAGACGTTTGGGAACCCGGGTTACCCGATCACACACTCGGGTCCATTTCGCGACAGCGTTCAGTACTTTCTTCAAGAATGTGCCGAGCTCGAGGACTACAATGTCGAAGGTATGCCCATTTGGTGCACAATGCTTGTCCATGAGAACAGAGGCTTCGTTTTTCCTCTGTACGCCATTGAAGAGAGTGTCAAGAACTCAATGCGACCCTTCTGTGATCACTGCCGATGCGCTGGTGAGTCCCGAATTCGATTACCATTCACTGTTTCTTTCGATTTCTCAATCTGGGTGGTTAAAGATTTGATTTGGGAATTCCAATTTTGGATTTAATTTTGGATTATATGGTTTATTGGGTATGAAATTCGATTCCCACCAACTGTTTGTTTTGGTTTCTCAATCTGGGTAGTTACAGATTTGATTTGGGAATTCCGATTTTGGATTTATTTATGGTTAAATGGGTATGAAATTTGGTGGTTGCAGGTTGGAGTCATCATTTTGTGTCGAAACGAAAGTACCATTTGATAATTCCAGTGGATGATGAGTGGAGGAATCCACTCAATGAAGGTGTTTTCGATCTCGAAACCCACCTCTTGCATGGGTTGATTCACAGCAATGGGTTTGGTCATCTGATCTGTATCAATGGAATCGAAGGCGGGTCTAAGTACCTCTGCGGAAGAGAAATCATGGATCTCTGGGATCGAATCTGCACAAATCTTCATGCCCGGTAGCGAAAATTTGTTAAATTAATAGACTTTCATCAGATTTATGGATAACTAATGGTCCAAATTTCTTGGGTTTTTTTGGTCCGTTACAGGAAAATTTCATTGGAGGATGTGGCCAAGAAGCAAATGATGGATCTTCGGCTGCTCTATGGGGTCACTTATGGTAATTCGTGGTTCGGTAGATGGGGCTACAAGTTCTGCCATGGAAGCTATGGAGTGAATAAGCACAATTATGAAAGCGCAATCGATGTTCTGAGTTCGTTGGAACTCGATAAGATCATCAAAGATTTTGCTCATACAAAGCAATGCAGAGATGTCAAGCAGATCATTGGTTGCTACAGAGATTTGAGCAAAACCCAATTGATCACAATCAGAGATATTCTCAGATTCATTCTTAGTCACAAGTCTCGAGTTCTGCTGCAGAGAAAGCCAGTGGTCACGGCCACTGTCTTGTTGTCTCCTCCAAAGCCTTCGACGAGAACTTCCCAGCAAACCAAGGCTGTGGCAAAGCAAAGAGCTGTGAAGTGCCAAAGATTTTCCACCGTAGCAGCCAATTTGGACAGTCGTTGGTCTATGAGGAGACTCGAATATACTGCAAATGTGATCGTCGATGCATTGAAGGAAAAGAGAGAACAAAGTGGTTCTAGCCATTGTGGAATGACCAGGCAGGAAGCACGAGATGCAGCTCGCCTGCACATTGGTGACACCGGTTTGATTGACTACGTGCTGAAATCCATGAAGAATGTGATTGTAGGAGGTTACATTGTTCGTCGTGTGGTGAACTTATCTACCCGGCTTCTGGAGTTCTCAATTCAGGAGGTAGGGAAGGGTGTTGAGGTCAATGAGCCGGAACCAAAAATTGTTTCACAGCCCCTTCCCATCTCAGCTATAACGCCCGGGATTGATGCTTACAGTGATGTGGCCTATTTGTACACTACTGTGCTATTGGGGTACCCTGAATCCCAAGTGTTTGAATTGGCTTCTCAAACAATTCTGAACAGCAAGCATTTTGTGAAGGAGTGGCCTTTTAAGGATCTAGATGATGACTTGTTGAGATTCATTTGCCGCGTAATGCCAAGTTTGAGCATTTTGGAAAATGAGGCGACAAGTAAATTTCCACCCGGTGAGTATATTGTGGTTCCACTGCATGCTACAATTGGGGATTTGAAGGAAGCGGTGCAGAGTGCAATGAGGGACACCTACTGTGTCATGGAGAAGTTAGTGGTGACGGATATTGAAGGAATGGAGGGATTTGAGGACAGAGAAGTGCTGTTTGGTGCGGTTGAGTCAGGTTCAGAGCTGTTGCTGAGAGGAAGGGGGTTGGATTTGTGCGACGAGTTTAAGTTTGAAGGTGGGCCTGACAACTGGACAGTCATATGCAAGTGTGGTGCGCGCGATGATGATGGGGAGAGGATGGTGTCGTGTGACATATGTGAGATGTGGCAGCACACTCGCTGCAGTGGCATTGGAGATGATGAATCTGTGCCGCCACTGTTTGTGTGTGATGGATGCTGTGCGTCGTTAATGCCCCCCAGTACACAGCCTTTCTTAGAGTTACAGTACTTGGAGGATTCAATGTTTCTTCCAGAATATGAGCCCGGGATGGAATTCCTGTACTAAGGGAGGATTCTGGCAACTACTGTATTAAGTGAGGTTTTTGTAGCTCATTTTGGTTTTTTCTTCTTGTTGTAATAGATTCTAGTGATAAACAAATGTAAGTAACATGTATGATTCTGTCAAATCTTAGTTACAGTTTCTTTAAAGAGTTCTTTCTAACTCATGCATAATGAGTATGCAAAATGATTGCAGAATGTCGAATCTTATGGGATATATTTGACATTGTGTAAAAATGGAAGCCATTATATAAATATAATGTAGCCTGCCGTACCCTAATGTGTCGCGGTCCAGCTAATTGCAGATGAGCTTTTCTGAACAGTATAACAACTCTGTCAATATCTATACTCATGTGACAGTTTGAATAGGGCTTTGTGGTTCTTCTGTTCTTTTTAATTTTTTCTTTTTCTTTTAGGAAAAATCCTTGATTTCATCTTCTACTTTATTGTCATAGACACCGATCAATAAAAACCGTGAGTGTGAATAGTAAGAGGAACTGAAAAAATTTCAGTACGCCATGAGCCTTTGCCTAGGGGAATCAGTATTCGTCAATAGGAAAAGATTTTGGTTTGGGATTAAGTATTCGGAATCGAGAGGATGTTGTAATTTTGATTTTGTTCTCAGCTCAGAGTTTGGTCCTTTAGCTGAGACACTAAAATCTATTAGGCAGTTTATTTTACAGTTCAGGAATTCATGGTAAGGGTAGACCTTACTCTATTGGGGAAATGCCACTAATATATGCTTGAAATAATAGGGTAAGCTTTTTGTCTCAAAATAAATATATCCTAAATGCAATGTAAAAGGAGAAAAACTACTCAAGTGCAATCAAATAAATTAAAAAAAAAAAAAAAGGAAAATCCCAAAGCACAGCCATGAGAAAAAACATCACCAAAGTCAAGTCATATTTCAAGGTCCACCAAAAGTTTGGTTTGAGCTGCTTACAGACAATGTTCCATTTCCAAATAGAATGCCTTTTCTCACTGCACCTGCTCAAAGTCTAAAATGTTCTACCGGATTGATAGAACTTATAAGTATGAAAGGAAAATTAACTTCGTCTTTTTTTCCTAACGCAGCAGAAGCCTTGTGGTCCAAAGGTATCAATCTTGTTCTCAGCTCCACTCTGTCCTCAAGCAAGTCTCTTTCCGGTCCACGAAATTGTGGTAGGGTTAGACCTACCGAAGTCCTACAATAATGTATATGCTTGACATACATTATAGTGCCTGCTTAAAATAAAATCCAAACCAAACCACAAGAAAAGGGGATGTATGTGCTTGATATTGCCTGGTTAAAATGACTCGTGAAATATTTTATATCAACATGAACATCATTATATACAAAAAGGGATAGCTCAGTACACAAGACTCTTGCCATTGCAGGGTCTAGATAGCTTCAGATGTACGCAGTTCTAAATAGTATAAAGATAGGGAATCCCAAATATAATGTCAAAAAGAGGAAAAAATAACATACAATAAGCCGAGTCATACATAGAAACACACTAAAGCCTGAGGCTGATGCTGAATGTGTGAGAGGCTTGCACACTCAAGCCTTCAGGTAAGAGGAGACCTATGAGGCACTTCTTTCCTCTCACGCCTTCTCTTGCTTGTCGTCGCTTGACTGCTGCCTTCGCCTGGAGGTGGACTTTCGACAGTAAGAAAAGGAGGTTCGGATTCATTTTCTTTTCTTGAAAAAGCCTCAACCTGCAAATTTTGATTTTAATTTCAAACAAAGTAAATAGATGTTTGAACAAAGGAAACAACCATCGCCTCCTTACCTTGCAGGCGATTGAACAGTAGCGGTTGGCAATTGGATTTATTAATCTCCTGTGGCACACTTCACAGGCTGCATTCACATATACTTGTGAACCAGTGTATGAGGGTTCATAGCTATGACCAAATGCTTGTGGTATTTGTATGTCTGCAACAACAAAGAATAGCAAATGTAGTGTCCATGTGTATAGTGAACATACAGTATAAATAAAGTGTAATATAACCGTTCGGAAAAAATAAAAATAAAATGTAATATTTTCTTCACTAAAAATGGCTAACTCAGTGCACAAGAATTTCACCATTGAAAAGTTTGGGGTGGGTTAGATTTATGCAATCTTACCTTTACACGCGGAGAGGCTGTTTCCCGTTTAGAACCCGTGACTTCCAAGTCACAATGAAGCAACTTTATTGTTACGGGAAAACCGATACGCATTATATTTTCTTCATTAGTTGGAAAAAGTTATAGTACAAGATGATCTATTACACCATCTTTTACAACTTTTTCTTAATTGAAAATTAACAAGAAAAATATAAAGAAAGAATAGAGGGGTTGAGGATAGTACAAGTGAGGAAAGAAAAGAGGAGAGAAAGAGGGAGAAGGCCAAATAGAGAGGCAGAGAAAATGAGAGAGATACAGAACGAGATAAATTCTATGTATGTTGAGGGAGAAGGGGTAGAGTTTTGGCTTTTGGAGTTGGGACCCATTCCCTACTAACTTTATATTGTTTTGGCTATTGGAATTTGACATGCCAGTGCATCCTGAGAACCATAAATGAGAAATGCAAGCTAATTTTATATATTTTTTGATTATTTTAGTCTCGGAGGATAAGTGTTCAATATGTCAAAGTATATTGCTCAAATATCTCATGTTGTGACTGAACCGATTTAAAAAGTATTTATTGTTTTCAAACTATTTGTTTTGAAGTTAAAACCATGGACAACATTAAGAGGCCTAAAAAACAATAAATTCTCTGTTTTAAATCATTCCTGTCAGAAGATGTGACACGTAAGCAACATGCGCTAGCATATTGAGGATAAGAGATGTGAGCAATATGCGTCGGCAAATATAAAGTTAGCATGTATTTCCCAAATCCCAATTATGATTTTTGGTTGTCAGAAAGAGAGATTTTTGGGTGTCATATTGAGGATTATAATTTTGTTGATTATTTTAGTCTTAGAGGATAAGTGTTTAATATACCAGAGTATAATACTCACGTGTCTCATACCGAACCGATTTAAAATAGAGTATTTATTGTTTTCAAAATATTTGTTTTGAAGTTAAAACCATGGGAAAACAATAAATACTCAATTTTAAATAGGTCATGTGACAGGATAAGGTACGTAAGAAATATGTGTTAGCATATTGAGGATGAGACATGTGAGCAATATGCATCGGCATATATAAAGTTAGCATGTATTTCTCATTTATGATTTTTGAGTGTCATAAAAAGAGATTATAACAATGGTTAAAATTTTAATTTTAAATCATTTTTTTATGACGTGCCACATGAGCAACATGCAGCGGCATTGTACAACATGCGAGAGACATGTAATGACATTGTTAAATATGTGTCTAACAGGTTCCAGACTAATAGAAAATGCTACGAATTAGCTTGAATTTTGTCTGATAGATGTTTTCCAAGTAGAAACCATGGGCAACATTACTGTAGAAATCCATACTAACTTTTTAGCATTTTTTATTAGTCTTAATCGTGATGCACACATATTTGATAATGCTATTGCATTGACATGATTCTTGTTATATAAAAGTTGTTTAAATTTAAACTTCGATCCTTCTCGTCTTCTTTCTTTATTCTTAATTACTTTAATCTTATGTGAACATGTTTGACATGCCAGCGCATAATGCTTGTTGTATTATGTCGCTCATGTCACAAATGTAAAATTGATTTAAGACTCAAAATTTAACCTTCTCATAATCTTTCTTCGTGATGTCCAAAAATTCATAAATGAGAATACATGCTAATTTATACTTTTCTTATTTTAGTCTTAGAGGGGACGTGTTCAATATGTCAACGTATATTATTCACATGTCTAATCCTGTGATGAAATTTATTTAAAACAAAGTATTTATTGTTTTAAAAGTATTCTTCTTAACGTTGCCCATGCTTTTTATTTAATGAAGAATACTAGGCAAACTTTGTAGCAATTTTTATTAGGGGGACGCGTATTTGACAATTAATGCCATTGTATGTCACCCACGTGGCACTTGTTTTAAGTTGTTTAAATTTAAATTTCGATCCATCTCATTATCTTTCTTTAGTTTCATCATAATTTTTTGAAAACCATATACAACATTAAGAGGAATACTTCAAAAAATAATAAATACTCCGTTTAAAATCAGTTGTCACAAGATGTGACACGCAATCAATATGACCTAGCATATTGAGGATGAGACATGTGAGCAATATGTGTTGGCAAATATAAAGTTAGCATGTATCTCCCAATTATAATTTTTGGGTGTCATAAAGAGAGATTTTTAGGTGTTGTATTGAAGATTATTATTTTAGTCTTTGAGGATAAGTGTTCAATACGCCAGAGTATATTGTTCACATGTCTCATTTCATGACTGAACTGATTTAAAACAGAGTATTTATTGGAGAAAATCTATAATACCTCAGGATACCGTACCCCTGAGCCTCTCAGCCGTTGGATCATCCATCAAGTGAGTCTCACCACCACATCCAACTATTAGGAATCTCGGGAGAACGGTACCCCAGGGGTATTGTAGACTTTCACCGGGGTACCGTATCCTCAGGGCTTCTCAATTTTTTTATGACACGTGCCACATGAGCAAAATGCAACGGCATTGTACAACATATGTGTCTAACAAGATTCAGACGAATAAAAAATGCTACAAAGTTAGATTGGACTTTGTTCGATAGACGGTGCTGATGTAAAAACCATGGGCAAAATTACCGTAGAAATCCATAATAACTTTATAGCACTTTTTATTAGTCGTGATCATGATGGACGCATATTTAATATGCTATTGCATGTCATTAACGTCGTTTTTGTTATATATAATTTGTTTAAATTTAAATTTTGATCCTTCTCGTCTTCTCTCTTTATTCTTAATTACTTTAATCTTATGTGAACATGTTTGACATGGTAGTGCATACAATGCTTGTTGTATAATGTCGTTGCTCACACCACACATGTTATATAAAAACAAATTTAAAACAAAAAAATTAATCATCTCATAATCTCTCTTTATGACACCAAAGAATTCATAAATGAGAAATATATGCTAACTTTATATTTTTCTTAGTTTAGTCTTAGAGGGGATGTGTTCAATATGTCTCATCTTGTGATGGAATTTATTTAAAATAGAATATTTATTGTTTTAAAAGTATTCTTCTTAATGTTACCCATGGTTTTTACAAACAAACTAGGCTAACTTAGTAGCAATTTTTATTAGGGGGACACGTATTTGAAGATGCCATTGCATGTCACCCATGTTACACTTTTTTTAAAAAAAGTTTTTTAAATTTAAATTTCGATCATCCCGTCATCTTTTTTTAGTTTCATCATAATTTTTTGAAAACCATGGACAACATTAAGAGGAATACTTAAAAAAAACAATATATAGTCTGTTTCCAATCGGTTGTCACAAGATGAGACATGCGAGCAATATGCGTTGGCAAATATAAATTTAGCATGCATTTCTCATTTATGATTTTTGAGTGTCATAAAGAGAGAATTTTGGGTGTCATATTGAGGATTATAATTTTCTTGATTATTTTACTCTTAAAACATAAGTGTTTAATATGCTAGAGTATATTGCTCACGTGTCTCATTTTGTGACTGAACCGATTTAAAACAAAGTATTTATTGCTTTCAATATATTTGTTTTGAAGTTAAAACCATGGAAAAACAATAATACTATGTTATTTGTCACATGATAGAACACGTGAGCAATATGCACTAGCATATTGAGGATGAGACAATATGCGCTCGCAAATATAAAGTTAGTATGTATTTCTCATTTATGATTTTTGGGTGTCATAAAGAGAGATTACAACGGTGTTTAAAATTTTAATTTTAAATTAATTTTTTTGTGACGTGCCACATGACCAACATGAAGCGGCATTGTACACCATGTGTGTTTAATAGGTTTAATCAGACTAACAAAAAAATTGCTACAAAGTTAGCTTGGATTTTGTCTGATAGATGGTTTGAGGTAAAAATCACGGACAATATTACCGTAAATTTCTAACTTCGTAGCATTTTTTATTAGTCTTAATCGTGATGGACATATATTTGATAATACTATTGCATCTCATTAAAAAAGTTGGTTAAATTTAAACTTTGATCCTTTTCATCTTCTTTCTTTATTCTTAATTCCTTTAATTAGTTGATTTAAAATTATAATTTTTTATTTAGAGAAAAAAAAATTAAATATTTGTCACTTTCAAAATTTATTTATTATTATATTGTATTATATTAGGAAAAAAATTATTATATTATATTATCATATATACGACCATTCACCTGTTTACTAATCCTCCTCCAATAAATACCCCTTTTCCCTTCAAATCGCTAAATATACTAATATATTATCATGTACCTAGTTTATTATTAGTATATTATCGATTATTATTCCCGCGGTCCCATATTAGTTATTTGCGTAAAAAACGTTCACTCACAATTTTTGTAAGTAAAAATAATATGAAATAAAAGTAATATATAAATATAAAAAATTAATATGACTAAAAATAATTTCAAATAATTCAAAAATAAAAAATGATAGGATAAATAAAGTGGACAACTACTATTATGACGGCGGTAGTATAAATAAATATACGTGTATATGTATTCTTTTCGCAAACCTCTCCCATAAACAAAGGGTTTATGAGAAGAACCCCATTTTCATCTCCTATTCCTAGAAAAAACAACTATGGTTTCTTGATCACTGGTGGTTGAAATCTATTCGATCAAACACAAATTGCTACTCCTCTCTCAAATCCTCTCCGTTGGAACTGTGGTTGGTGCAAACTTTACTCTCAAATCTTCAGATTCTCCTCTTATTCAACACCAGGCCATTCAGGTAAGATTTTTGGCAATAAATGTTTTCCCCGAACAAATTTTGCTTTGCTTCTATTTATTGAAGGATTACTATGTTATTGCTACAAAATATAATTGTTACGTCAAGTGATATAATTATTGGGAATGCTTCTATTTGTAGAATTGACATTGCATGCTAACAGTTTGATGATTTGCTTCAATGGGATTTTACTCTGTATCTGAAATTTTTTGAGATTTTTTATATGTTTGGAAATGATTTAATGAAGAAAACTGAATAAAGTAGATATGGTAACTTGACCTTATAGCCCAGTGGTGTTCTGTTCACTTTGTAAGCTACTTTGGGAGGTTCATGTCTTGCCTAGGTGATTTCTTACATAAAGACAAGTAGTGACATGGCAAGAAATGATTCCATATGTCTCCTACATTGTAATGTTATCTCAACAGCGGGATTATAACTTTTCACAACAACAGGGAAGATCATGATAATAATGACAGTAAGAATTTGAACCAACCCAACCAAAGCATGCCTTATGGCCTTATTTTTAGTTTTTGGTAATCATATGCCATCATACCTACCACCAAAAAATAGTTCTTTCCTTTTCATCTTTCTCTTGTCCTTGAAGCACTCTCAAATTAAGATTGATTTACTCTTTCTGATTGGTCATGTTATTTGTCTTCATTGCATATAGCCGAGTATCCTTGCTAGTTTTTCTTTGTTTTTTCACAGTTGTGCTCCACCAACTAATCACGAAATGCTCATAGATAGGGATGACAATTTTGCCTGCCGACGGGTAGAGGAACCCTTTTTGTTCTGTCGGGGTGGGTATGGAAAAAAATATAAAAATAGAACCTACCACAGGTATGGGGCGCAGTTGGGATTTGATAAAATCCTGTATCCACACCATTTATATGCTGCTATTACACATTTACCCCTGCCCTTACACACACACACACACACATATGTATAAATCTTAACCTAACCTAACCTAAATTCCCTCACCTACCCAAATCGGCGCATCTGAGAACTGAGATCTCCATTAGCCCTCTCTCACAAACCCTAAAAAAGTTAACCCTTACCAATTTAGTCTTCACCATGTCTAGGTCACCAAGACATCAATGTTTGTTGCCGGTTATTTCAATTGAGTTCAATCAATCGATTCTAAGTTTTCAATTGAAGGAAGACTCTTGAGCTCGCCATTGAAGTGAGTGGTGAAGAACACAAGGAGGTCTCATCGTAGTGGAAAAATGGGGCGGTACATCGTCGACAATTCTCAAGGACTGCTACAATCACTTCCTCTTCTTTGATTTATATCCAAATTTCCCATCGCTCCATACAACTGCATTACTTTGACTCAGGACTAGTTCAATGGCTCCATGCCGTTCATCATCAAAATCGATGCATGAATCAGATGTAATTGGGACCTTCACATCAGGACGGTATCTTTTCTATATTAACTTGTTGGCCTATCTTCTGACTTTCGGTAGCCCATACACCGGGATAGTTGTCGGTGAGTCCTGAATGGTAGAAACTATATTTTTAATTCTTGCATTCATATATTTATCTAATCTGCGGATCTTTGCTTAGCCAAGCATGTGGCATTAGTTATAGCATATACAAAACTATGTCTTTTTCTCATATTTTCCCCTTTTTATGTCTCTCTTGTGCATGTGTGTGTGGGTTAGGACTTAGAAGGTACAGTCTGCAAGTATTGTCTTCAGCTCATTGATCTGATTTGCGCTAATTTTGGGTATTGATTTAAGATTTGTGTAGTTGTCTAGCAATTGTTTGTTGGATTTGATGGCTGATTGCAACTGGATTTAGCGTTGATTTGTGTAGAACAACTTGTTATTTTTATGTGTTTGAACTCGTGGGACTATAGCATTCTTCACTTTCTCTCTCTAAACGGGGTGGGATGGGGTTACTTTCCTCCGAGTGGGGTGGTGATGGGAGTTGAGAAATAATCATCAGGACTTAATAAAATAAATGGAAACTCATTGGTATCTTTTGTCCATTAAGGTCAATCCTTTGTTCTTTTTTAGCCTTAGTTTTGCTCATCTTAATCCTCTTGATTTTAAGACTTATAATAATCCAATTTAGTAATTTGCCTCCTTTATATTCATCAATAATAGAAGTCATGATTAGATCCTTTCATTTCTAAAACATCCTCTCACTAGAGCCTTTCATGATTTATCTTAAGTGTTTGCCTAAACAGCAAGTCTTGGCTATATGGGATCTAAAGGCTTTCTTTATAGTTGGACTGCTCAGTAGAAAGTTTCTATTTTTTTCTTAATAGGAGTAAGATTTTCTATGAGTTTGATAAAGGGAGCATTGGAATAGGAAGAGAATTATAAATATTGAGCTTGCATGGACTTGGTGGCCAACCCTATAGTATTAACAATGAACTTTTTTGATTGTTATATATTTATTCGAAATCATGGTTAGTTGGCTTGCCATTAATCAATATTTGTTGCTTAAATTTGGGGTGCTTGGAGTGGCGAACTTTGTACTAACCTTACCCTTGGCATCATTTGCTTAAATTGGTTATCCTTATAGTCAAGCCCACATTCTCACGTTTGATAGTCGTTATTTTTACCATTTTTAAATTTATGATTATTATCTTTCTAGAGATGTATCCACACCCTATATCTAGACACTTTGAAAACTATGTATGTGTTCTTGTGTGCACAATAGTGGGGCAACTGTACTTGAGTCCATGTAAAGTAGATCAAGACACTTAGCATTTAGACTATTTCCAGTCTTAATGGTTTTGCCAAGATGTTGTTCAAGGCGACCTATCAAAAGATTCTAAACATTGTTTTATGTAAGATCGCGTGGAAGATGAATATAAAATCATTCATCTTGTTATGTCGATTAAGCAAGTCCTCGTTGGTTTGACCCACATGGATTTGTGCACGCCTCCAAATTTCCGTCTGGGGATCGGCTTTGATATCATTTGTCACAACACCTTCCAGTCTGTGCAAATATTGTCCGCTTTGCACATTCTCATCTTGATGCTCACAGTTTTCCTCAAAAGGCATCTACATGGTTAAGGAGTGTCCACACATATTAATGCCATAACTTCTCTCCCCCAGGCGATGTGGGATGTCATAAGTTCTCAAACATATAAACTAAGATTGAAAATGTTTGATTGAATCAATAGTTTTTTTTTGATAAGTTGATTGAATCAATAGTTAGAAACTTATAAATGATGACATGCACACATCTTAGTCCAAGGGATGTTCCATTTGACAAAAGTGCATGACAACTTTTGCTCGTTAGGTGAGGGTGATGTTGTTATGTCATTTCTTATGAACAAAAGCAGATCTTATCAATTATAGGATAATCAAAGACTACTAAACAAGGTCAAACTTACTTTAAAAATTTTAAAATTAAAATGTTGCTTTTCAATTAAAGAAGTAATACCTGAATTTTAGAACAGTCAATATGCTTCTCCGTGTCGCTAATGCGGACAACGTCCTTGTAGATATATCGACAAATTTTAAGTACCTTGTGTTGGCCATGAGGTCCCGGACAGATACAGTGTTGGCAGGCAGGTAACTCACAGGTGATGCAGTACTTGTTCAACTCATTCTTGCTAGCTTCACGAACTGAACAAGAGCTGAAGAACGTCTGTTGCAGAAATGGCAGAAGCCAATCTGGCTTTTCCTTCTTTTGTTGGACCGCACCTTCATCCTTCAAAATTAATCCTTGTCAATGAATGAATGCAGATGACTAAGATGATTAAAAAGCTACAGAGCATAAACCAAACTGAGAATATGTACAATAGTGCCTTGTAAATGATGTTATTTATTATACCCAGTAAATAGTGTGTAGTAAGTTGTGTTACTGTGTTTCCCATTGCAGTTTTGGTAATTTTAGAAGTGTCAGGAATATGTAAATGTTGAAAGAAACGGAGGAAGTGTCTTACCTTGGTGGGGGAGTTTGATTATGCTTGAAATTTAAATTTTTGGTGCCTTCGGTGGGCTCAATTTAGGTTCCAAAAGCTGTTTTTCTATGTGTTTAAAGTTGGATTACAGTTAAGTTTTTCTTGCATAATACCTAGAGAAAAGAAAAATATAGGAAATGACATTTCTTTTTTTTTTTTTTTTTTGAAGATGCTCATAAGTTGCTTTATTCTTTCTTTGTAGTGGAAAAGAGTGTGGAAGCTAGTGGGTGGCATCAATTAAATGCAAGTAGGTATTGAAAATTTATTTTCAGTGGAAAACTACTTACTACTTCTAAACTGAAAGACATGTTGAATGCTATTATTGAATCAATAATTAAAGATATTAAATATTATCGTTCGTGTGATTGAGAAGAAATACATATCAGTCAAGACGTTCTTCTATTATTGACCCGCTTTGGTAATTGCACTTAATAATTAAAGATATTAAATATTATCGTGCCTTGTAAATGATGTCTTTTCCAGAACTTTGAGCATTTGATGTAGTTATATATAGAAAATATCTAAAGTCAGTGAGATCTTGTGTTTACTGTTCATACATTTGGTTTGTATACTGTGGTTGGTCCAGAATTTGACGTCAATTTCTAGACACATGTAAATATTAACTATCTTACAGGAACTAAGGGTCAGACTTTTAGTCCACTGCAAAGTTGATGAACCCTCTTCCATACCAACTTCAGTTTTCACCACTCTAAATTACAAGAATTTGCGGTATTTTCTTTTACTAGCTTTGGAAACTAGGTTTGATGAATTATTCAATTTATTTAATGGATCGGTTTGTTTAATAGTTCTTTATATTACCTCATCTTTGTTCTTTCTAATACCTTGTGTTTTTTTTTTTTTGGGACCGCCTTTTCACTAATGTCTCATCTTTTGGGGAAAAAAAGGGAAAAGTATGCAGCTAGGGAGCATTATTGCTTGATTCTAATGAGAAACAAATACATAAGTTAATTTGAATTAGTTAATTAATTAATTATATTACTGTTATCATCAGTGCAACTGGGTTCTTAATTAAATATGATTTTTTATATAAAAAATATAATAATTGCTTCTCTAAGTATGTCAAAATATAGATATATAATCTAATGGATGGTTTGGCCCTGTTTCCAATTTAGCCAAGTGCTACTTCTTAGCATGAGAGGTGCACTGGATATGAGAAATAAATCTTGGTCTTCGGATAATAATTGGCTGATAATTGGGCATTGATTTGCATCCAAGATGAAGTGATCTATATACTGGTCCATGGTCTAAAAAATTATAAATCAGAAATTAGCTTTGATATAATTTCATTAAACTCTTTTTAATTAAATTCTAAATGATTTGCAAACTTAATCATAGAAAACCATGATGGCACTAGGTCTAAAAGAATACAAATTTGAAGATGCAACCTTTGTAGATCTATACACACATTCAAAAAGAGAGTCAACAATGTTTTTCATTGACGTCTAAGTTATACACATTAACATAAAAAAGGATATCAACATTTTGGTTTATCTTTTTGAAGATTTTTTTCCTAATCCTTCAAATTAGGATATATAAGCTAAAGTGCAACAATGAAACTGATCATTTCTAAACAGAAAAAGAAATGAAGGAAAATTCCATTTTTGTATTGTAAGTGTTCATCTTCTTCAATCTAGTTTTTGTAATGGAATGAATTACAGTGTTAAACAATTACAAGATATATGGAAAATATCTGATGCAGATTTCAAAAGGCAGCTATGTAATACTTTAAGTTCGCGTACCTGGTGAGTTGATATCGCTGGTTCCATCACTTTTTGCAAGTCAAACTGAATTATGAAGTGTAAGTTTATTATTTCTTGTTTTTATTGTTGAAAAATGGAGGCTGCAAAATTAGTTAAAGTTAAATGCATGTATGACTTTGAAATTGTGGACCACAAAGTTTTTGCATTTGCAAATTTTTTGCCATATGTATTAAATTTTTACTTATTATTATACTTTTCACATCATCATAGTGTAAATGTTGTTGTAGATACTTCTGAAAGTATTTATGGCTATTATGATTTATATAATCATAATAACAATTAAAATTCTAAAACGAATATAATAATAAGTATCAAATTTATAGTACGAATGTCTAAAAATTATTTTTTTCCTCCTTAATTTGGTAGGTTAAAAAATAATCAAAAGTAATAAATTTTTTTTTGATAAGTAAGATTTTAATAAAAACACTCAAAAGGGGAGCGGAACCCAAAGAAACAAAAGGGCCAAAGGGCGCCTTAGACCTTCAGAGAGGCCAAAAAAACAATAAACTCCTCTGTAGATCTATAATCTCTCCTTGAAACTCAACAAAAAAGAATAGAAATAACAGAGAACTTAAGCATAGAAACAGGCTTCTTTTTTTCATCAAAATATCTCCTATTTCTCTCGAGCCAAATACACCACCAAATACAAAGCGGCGTAGCCCTCCAAGCATCACGAATGGAAGCCCCCACAGAGACGCCTCTCCAAGCCTCAATCAACCCTCTAGAGGAACAAGGCATAGCCCAATGGACCCCAAATAAACCAAGCATCAAATCCCAACAATCAATGGCCATGCTGCAATGTAAAAGGAGGTGATCAACTGACTCCTCATTGCACAAGCACATATAACAATGATTGACCACCACCTGATTCCTCCTCCTCAAATTATCGTGGGTTAAAATCTTACCCAGGACGGAGGTCCAAGCAAAAAAGGCGACCTTGCGAGGAGCCTTGGAACGCCAAATAGACTTCCAGGGGAAGGGTTCTCCGTGACTAAACGATAGGCATCTGAAAAGGACCTAACCTCAAAACGGCCTTGCGAGTTAGGAACCCAGAACCAACGATCCGACTCCCCAGAAGAGATCACCTAGCTATACAGAAGCTTCAGAAAGCGAGAAACATCCTCGATCTCCCAATCCTAAAAATGCCTCCTGAATTGAACATCCCAAGTCAATCTCCCGTTATCAAGATGATAACAGTCAATAACCATTGCCTGTCGGTGAGAAGCAATCCTATAGAGCCGTGGGAAAGCGAGAGCAAGAGAGAGTTCCCCACACCAAAGATCCTTCCAAAAATTGATCCTTCTTCCATCTTTAATTCGGAAATGAACATGCTTGCAGAAATCATCCCAACCCCTCCGAATGAAATTCCAAACTTCCACCCCCCTTGGGCCACGCATCGCAAGAGATCACCACCCACCACTACTTTCCCCAAATTTGCTCGCAATAACTCTCCTCCATAGCCAATGCCTCTCAATCCCAAACCGCTAGAGCCATTTACCAAGGAGAGCCTTATTAAATGGCAACAACCTCCTTAATCCTAAGCCTCCATACCGAATTGGATGGCACACTTGATCCCACCGAACGAGGTGAAACAACAGCCTCCTTAATCGTAAGCCTCCATACCGAATTGGACGGCACACTTGATCCCACCGAACCAGGCTCCCCCCTCCCCCCCCCCCCCCCCCCCCCCCGGCGGGGCCCAAAGAAAGTTGCATTGCAATCTTTCAATTCTCTCAGCCACTAAAGAAGGAATCTGAAACAGAGAGATGAAGTAAGTAGGAAGGCTAGAAAGGGTGCTCTTAATCAGGGTAACCCGATCCCCTTTGGATAGGTACTACTTTTTCCAACCCGCCAACCTCCTGTCGAATCTATCCACAACTGGATCCCAGCTCCCTACACATCTCGAAGGGGCTCCCAAAGGCAATCCTAAGTAAGAAATGGGAAAAGAGCCAGTACAACATCCACGGATCTGAGCAAACAACTCAATCTCAGGAACATCCTCAACAGGCACAAGAAGACTCTTGCCAACATTAACCTTAAGGCCAGAAACAACTTGAAACCAAATCAAAACGCATCTCAAATACCTCAACTGGGACGCGTCCGCATCATAAAACACAATAGTGTCATCCGCAAACATCAAATGGGAAACCTCCGATTGACTAGCAACATCCCTGCCCACTCGAAAACCTCTCAAAAAACCCAGCTCCACAGCCCTCTTCAGCAATCTACTAAGAGCCTCCCTCTCAAAAACCAGCTCCACAGCCCTCTTAATTGATAATGTGATTATTTGCATCATTATGGTCATTTGATGCATGGAGGACTACGCCTCTTTGTATTTGGTGGTGCATTTGGCTCGAGAGGAATCAGAGATATTTTGAGGGAAAGGAGTAGCCTATTTCTGTGCTCAAGTTCTCCATTATTTCCACTCTCTTTTGTTGGGTTTTAGGGAGAGATTATCATTCTATTGAGGAGATTGTTATTTTTTTGGCCTCTTTGAAGGCTTGAGGCTTTTTGTGGCCTTTTGTTTCCATGGGATTCGCTCCCCTTTTGAGCGCTTTTTATAAAATCTTACTTATCAAAAAAAAAAAAAGAGTTGACTAGGAAGCATTCACTCATGACAATTTTCTTATGAAGTTAAAATTAAATTTAGCCAATGAAGAGTTTTAACGAAATCCTTGGAGATAGAAAGTAAGGATTTATGAAAAAGTTGTGTAAAAAATTTTCAGGAAAACTAAATTTCCTTTATTTCCTTGTTTTTAGTTTAAAAATGGTGAGAGTGAAAATATAACAATTAAGTTAGATTTATCAATAATTTTGAAGTTGCACATAGATTATCGTTTGCAAATGTGATTCATCATTTGTTTTATATTTGCAACTATTATTATTGTTGTTGATATCATCAGTGTAAATACGTTCATAAATACTTATGAAAGCATTTATCTTCACATGATATATATAACCATAATAGTAATTACTTAACATAATGCTTTGTCCCAATTTAATAGTCCATATTTCCTTTTTTGACTATCTTAAAACACTTGTCCCATTTGAATACGTTCATGAATACTTATGAAAGCATTAAATGCATGGTCCCATCAAAAGTAATTTTGAAAAGAGACTATTAAACTGGAAGATGTATTTAATGTATTGTCTCTTTTCGAAATTACAAAACCGACCAAATAAAATTTTACATTTACTTTATTGATTGGAAAAGGCTTTCAAAACTGAAAGGTTAATTTTAAAATGTTGAAATGTGAAACATCTCAAAAAGGAAAGTGGAAACTTATTTTGGGACATGCCAGAAAATAAATTGTGACATTTATTATGGGTAGAGGTACTGCAAATTTAAAACAATGATAATAATAAATATTACATTTTTAGAATGAATTTATAAAAAGTATTTTCTTACATTTTTGTTTGGTAGGGATAAATACTTTTGTTTTGTAGGTCGATAGGTATAATAAGACCTTGTTTGGGATTGCTTTTTCAATCACTTAAAAGTGCTTTTATTTTAAAAAATTGCATTTACATGTGTCTGTTTGAGGTATACTGTGTTTTGAACTGTTTTTTATTAGATAATTTTTTCCTTTTATATTTTTTATAAATACAATTTCCTTAATAAAGTCATGTTATTATCAAAAATAGTAAGAAGGACATTATTGTAAAATTTGTAATAGATTTTTTTTTTTTTTCATAAATGAATTTGTAATAGAATATCTTTAAACAATATCGTTTCCAAACAAATTAAAAAGTACTTTAATTGTGAAAAGTAATTTATATAATGGATCACCTAACACTTTACATGCTTTTAAATTTTATGACAGCTCTACTATGAAAATGTTTTTTTCATTCCAATTACCAAATAAAAGAGAGAAAATTTATAATGGTATTTCACCTTCTTTTGTGTATAGCTTGGGATGCGTTCCCCTTTTGAACGCTTTCTAATACATTTTACTTATCAAAAAAAAAAAATTTATAATGGTATTTAAAAAATTATTTCATTTCTCCTTTATTTGGTAGGTTTGGTACGTTCTTGTTATAAATATGATATTTGTTATCATTATCTTTTTAAGTTTGCAATTATTGTTATGGTTATATACATGCTTTTGAAAGCTGTTACACTATGCTGACGTCTATTAATATAATTATAGTTATTAATTTAAAACAATCAAAATTCATTTGCATATGAAAACTTGTTTGATCCACAAGTCTCAAAGTCATACATGCATCTAACTTAAACTTTTCTTATTTTCGTTCACCATGATCTGTTTTTAAACCAACAAAGAAAGAGAGAGAGACAAGTTATTTTTTCAAAATTTTCTCTGGCAAGAAACTCAAACACCCGTTTGCCATTGTCGGGACTTGAACCTTCACCTCTCACTTTGAGAAGTAGAGGAGATACCTTTAGGCTACAACCCTGGTGATAATTTTCTAATAAATTTTTAGTTTCTATTCCAACGATTTTCTCCTGAAACCTTCTTATTAGATAGCTAAATTTATTCTGATTTCACAAGTAGATTATCATGAGTGCGTCATCTTCCAAATCAATGCATCAGGTGACAATGGCAATATAAACAATTACATTTATTTATCAGCATATATATTTTGGATTTGTTTGTATTATCATATTATATGCATCATAAGAGCCATATGAAAACATTTACATCATGTGATGTCAATAATCATAATTAAAGCAGCACATTAGTGAAGTTTTTATTAAAGATTTTTTTTTTTTTTTCCTCATTGTTTTTTTTTCCCCATTTTGTGGTAGCTTAAGAGAAGTTATATAGATTGTTCCCATTATTATGATTATTTACATGATTATCATCATTTTTTTAGGGTAAGCGCAACGATACTATGTATTCGCTGAAATTTTTTTACTTTGATAAAAATTTGATAATTCAATTTTAAGGTTTCACTTAAAACTCGTATCAGTGATGCTAGTAGTTTATATCCTGAAAAATCAGGCATCAGATCGAAACGGGCTTGAAGTGGACTGTTTTTCCAAGGATATATATAAAAAAAAGGGTTTTTTCGACTTATAATTACAAGAGTTTCTAGATAAGTAAAAGAGGGTGCAAAAATAGCAGAACTCTTGTATTTCTCTGTGTGCGAGGAACCAGATTGCAAAAAGCTTAAAAGGCTTGTACGGAAAATGAAATGCCGAGGAAATTTCCTCCTGGAGAGTATATTGTGGTTCCACTGCATCCTACAATTAGTGGGTTGAAGGAAGCAGTGCAGAGTGCATCGAGGGACACCTACTGCATCATGGAGCAGTTAGTGGTGGCGGATATTGAAGAAATGGATGGAATGGAGGATGGATTAGTGCTGTTTGGTGCGGTTGAGTCAGGGGGGTGGATTTGTGCGATGAGTTTAAGTTTGAAAGTGAGTTGACAATTGGACAGCAAGTCTGGGGCACACGATGATGACGGGGAGAGGATAGTGTCCTGTGACATATGTGAGACATGGTAGCATGCTCGCTGCAGTGGCATTGGTGATACTGAAACTGCGCTGCCACTTTTTGTTTGTGCTGGATGTTGTGCATCCTTAATGCCCTCAAGAGCACAGCCTTGCTTTAAGTTTAGAGTATTTTGGGGATTCAATGTTTCCTCTAGATGCTGAGCTTGGGATGGAACTCCTGTACCAAGTGAGGTTTCTGGCAACTGCTGGCATTAAGAACTGGTAAGCACAGTGCAGGCTATAACATGTGCTATAAATGTTGATGAACACCGGCTGGTTATATATTTCTGCAGCTCATTTTTTGTTTGTTTGTTTGTTTTGTAGCCGATTTTAGTGCTAAACAAATTTAAGAAACATGTCTTTGATTTGTGCAGTTTCTTTAAAGGTTTATTTCTAAGTTATGACAAATGATTGTGGATTGTTGAATCTTGTCAGATATATTTGACCTTGTCTAAAAATGGAAGCATTTATATAAATATAATGTGGCGTGTCATCCCCATGTAAATTATAAGCCATTTCATTTTCTACTTTATTGTCATAATAGCCGCATCCCAACATTGCCAATTGAACCAAAAAAACAAGAAGAGCCACAAATGCCCCATTCATTTATCACTCAATGCAGAGATTCTTCCAAATTCATTCATTCATTCATATAGATGTAGCAGTCTGAAAATAGGAAAAAAAATGAAAACACATCCATATATGCTTGCATTTTGTGACATGACAGTAACTTCTGCCTGGCTGTGTGATAGATGAGGTTTCAAAGTTATGCATCTTGGTTCAGTTCAAATCTTCGACCAACATGACCTAAACGAAGCTTGGGTTAATTCAAGGCCTCTGAGATTTGTTTTCCATGTCTAGCAAAAATCACCAGGTTGAGAAACCAAATACTTCGTGCTGCCGATGCAGGTTAAAATTCTGTGCAGGCTAAGCCACACAATTCTCCGCTCCTGCTTTCACTTTGTGTGACTTAAAATTTTGCTGCTCTCATGCTCCCATTCCCGCTCAGTGTGACTAGTTATGGTGTGCAGGTTGCTAAATCTGCCAATTTTTAGACATGTTGAAGCTTAAGCTGCCTGACATTGATAATAATATGAAGGAATAATCCATTCTGGCTTCGTGGAATCTTATCTACCTGGTGGGTGGTTTGCAGTAGCTATGGTTATATTTGACATTTGGATTATACTTCTTATTTCTGCTGATCACACCATCAGGAGCTTTTCCCGATCAGTTGTTCGGTTGGTTGGGACTTGGTATGTCAAATGGAAGAGCACATTGATGGTGTTCTCAACATCCTTCTCTGCCTCTCTGTTGAGTTGCTGGATATTCCTGTTCTGCTGAAATTTTCTTTTTCTTCTTTTTTACTTATTATTATTTTTTTCCTGCTTTCTTTTCAGTCCTTTTGTTGAGATCTGTTTGTAGATCCTTTATACAGTTCTCTGGGGGCTATCTCTTTTGTTTTCTGTTTTCGTTCGTTGGTTTAATAATATTTGACTTGAGAAGAAAAAAAAAAAAAAAAAAAAAAAAAAAGGTCTCTGCACTTTTTCAATATAATATGTTGCTATATAAACCACCTTCGTTTAATCAGTTAATCATTGTCATTCTAATTCAGTATGCCTTTGGCTCTCCTTTAATGATGCTATGTTAGCCATTTAAAGCAGCATCAGAACTACCACCATTGTTTCCCTTGCAAGCTCACTCAGACCACTGCCTTTGCCACCACTCAAGTAACATTATTGGCAATACCATGGAATTTTTCAACTAATGTGGGTTGGAAAATTCTCCCTGCCGCTTTGAATCTGTGGAAAAGTTGTGTTGTTAAGAGTAGGAATGGAGAAATGTGGATTTGTGATATGACCTTGATATCCAGTGGTCACCAGACTTCGGTGTGCAAAATGATCTTGCTTAACTATCACATCCCAAATTCACCAATCGTATTTTCATATTCATATATATATATATATATATATAGGATGTGATAGTTAAGATATTCTTTTCACAATGCTTCTCTAACTAAGAAGCATTGACACTTTTATAAAGTGCCGTGTTCATTTTAGATATTGATAATTCATGGACACTTTTGTCGACCCTCAAATACCATGTCAATAATTTAAATTATTTCGGATACTTGGTTCAACGCATCTTGAATACTTGACAATACCTTCTACACTCTTTTGTCTTATGTAAATAAAACATGACAGTTTTCGAAACAACATTATCATTATATATCAAAGTGTCTAACTTGTTTTTATCTTTTTATTTTTTGGGTAAAGTATATTTACACCCCCTGAGATTTGGGGAAAGGACAAGCAGAGGAAAGTTAGTTTGTTTTTGGACAATAACACCCCTTTAAGTTTGAAAAATGAACAAAGAGATCCTGAAGATGGTGAATTAACCTTATTGCCCTTTCAAATAAAATTAACATTTTAATGGACTTAAATACCCTTTGATTAAACCCAAACCTGAACCCGAACTCGCCTGTGTATGTTATACAGTTCACCAGAGGAGAGAGAAGGGAGATCAGATGGATGGTGGTTGTGGCCGCGGTGGTGGGTGTAGAGAGAGGGGGGGAAGAGAGGGGCGGCCATAGTTAAAGAGATGAGGTGAAGAGGAGAGAGAGGAAGAAGATATGAGAGAGATTGTGGTGATGGCTGCGACAGTGGGGGTGGCGGTGATGACTGCGACAGTGGTGTCGAAACCCAGAAGCATCGACGAAACCCTGAAATTGCCGACGAGAACCAAGCTCTGATGACGATGCGGCCACGGACTGAACAGTGTGGCGAAGTTTAAAAACCGAGCAACAAGAGATCGACGAGCAGCAATAATCGGGCGAGGACCAAGCTCCGATGACGACAAGGTTCAGATGAGCACAGTCCGGCGACCGTCACCTGCAAGGCCGAGGAGGCTGAAGTGGCCATCGCTTCTGCCGTCCGTTTTGAGTCCAATTTGAGCCCTTTTCGGCCTGGGGAACATCTCTGTCAATCCCGGTCAAACCCGGCTTGTCCGAGGCCGAGTTCGCCGCCCGAACCAAGGCTGAGCTTCGGCGAGGTCGAGGAGGTAACAGTGGCAGAGCTCCTTTTCGGCGTCTTCTTTAGTGGGTGGTGATTATGGAGGTTGGGGGTTGGTAGAGATTGGGGGCGGTGGTGGCTGGTTGTGGTGTGTGTGTGTGTGTGTGTGTGTATAACTATATATGAAAAGGGTATTTTGGCCATTTAAGTTTTAAATATTTTATAATTAAAATTAATAAAATAGTGAAGGGTAAAGTGGACTTTTCGCTTGATTTAAGGCTCTGTTTGGAGGGCAAATTTCACAAGGGGGTGTGTTTGTCCAAAAACAAGCCAACTTTCCTCTACCTGTCCTTTCCTCAAACCTCATGGAGTGTCAATGTACTTTACCCTATTTTTTATTAGGGATTATTACATATAAATGGGGTTAGAGTTTCATATTTACCAAGAGGCTGAGTCAAAGTCTCATATTTCTTAAAAATGAGGTTGACTAAATTGATGACATGGCACATGAATTATTACTGTTTAAAACTTGTGGTGCCTAAAATGCCCTTCTCACTATTCCAGCACATTTACCTTATTGCCCCCGTTTAATTTAGTCACTCAACTTGTTGCCCTAAAATACACAGTCACAAATCCAGCGAAGCAAGCCCAGGCAAACACAGCATCACCGAACATGGAACCCTAACCCTCCCTCATCTCATTCGTGAAGAGCCCTTAAGAGTCCTCTCTCTCTCTCCCCCCATCTCTGTAACAGGATTGAAGTGTAGCCGTTGAGCCCTAACCCTCATTCAAGCCCTCTCTTTTTCCCCCTCTGTAACAGCAAAGCACTTCTCCACGTCTAACCGTCGTTGGTGCGCCCTCTCTGTAACCCAGCGAAGCACTTCTCCACTTCTGCCATTCATTTATTGTTGTTCTAGTAATATGGTAAGTACTCTCTCCCTCTTAACACACACACGTTTATATTTTAGATGATTATGGTCCTGATTTAGTGTTATAATATTTTTTTTTTTTTTTTTTTCCAATTGGATGTCTGATTTTCATGGAGGTTATGTTTATATATATTCTCCTCTTATAATTTCTATTATGCAATCATATATATATAATTTCTATTCTGCAATCAAGATTGTTGTTGCTCTGTTTGTTGTATATGTTTGAAATGTGCGTAACAAAATGTTGCTCTCTTGTGCGTGACAAAATTAATTTTTAAAACTCAGTTTTATCCCACCAACAAAGGCAAAATTTTCATAAAGTAGATACTTAATTAATCAAATGTTTTTTTTTTTATTTTTTATTTTTCTTCTTCTTCTTTTGTAATTAGGTTTGCTTGTTTTTGAAGAGTTCATGCTTTCTTTATACGTTGACTGAACTGAAATCCCAAATGTTATCCTACAATCTTTCCACTAGCATGGGTTTTCATACTTAAAATACTCGGAATTTGCTGAAGAAAACATAATTAAACAGGATAAAAAACAAATTTCCATGCATGTCCTTTGTTACCTGCTGAATTTTTTTTTATAGAACATTAATCTGATCTTAAAACTTAAACATTGTACTGTTAATGCCTACCTGTGTATAGTAGAGATTCAATGTCCCTAAATCCAAATAATTCATGTTCTTTAAATTTACTAGGACCATGTGGAAGCAAGTGGCAGTACGTGTGGTGCCTACAGGCTTTTTGTTGGATTTCACTAGTTAGCTAACTAGCTTGTGCCAAGGTAACAAGCTTAAATCCTATCTTCATAAGTCATTTGCTCTGGAGACCTTATGATACAATCAATGAATGTAAACTGTAAAGAGGCATGCATGTGATAGTCTTTGGGTAGGGACACTTGTTATCAAATGTTTGTGAAATCTACATTCCCATTTGCATTTGCTTAGTAAAAGAATTGTTTAAGATTACTAGTATTGGTTCTACAATATTAAATTAAAAACAAGTTTTTCATACATACTATATTTGTTGTGGTTTAGTGGTTGAAATGTAATTAAATATAAAATTTGAGTTTGGTTCAATTAAATGAAAATGCTTTATAATAATTTCATGATTAATATCTTGGGTGTTAAGAATCACTAATAAAGATTTTAGTTCTCAATATAAAACAAAAGGGAAGAAGCTACTCTGTTTGTGCCTTATAGATGAAGTAACAAATCTTCATGGTTATGCTATGATTTGTGCCTTAGCTTACAAGGTTGGAAGTCTTTGGTAAATGTTTTCACTAGGGAAACATAGCATTTTAGAGCATGTCAGTGATGGCCTTGGTGTCTGATAATTACCAACATTTAAATAAATTAGATAAATAATTCTTTTTAGTAGACTGATTGAATATGTTAACATTTTTAAACGATTAAAAAATTTAGTCTAAGATATTGCCATGCAATGACCAGAAATGGAAAAGATTTCTTCACCATCTGTTCATGAAATTTGAATGGTTTTAAACAACAAATTTCTAGATATGCTTACAAGTTCCCCCCGCGCCCCCCCCCCCCCCCCCCCCCCCCCCAACCGGTGAAGAGTGCAAGCTGCTTTATACCTAAGCCCAAATTCAGTTGAAAATACAAGACACGAACAATAATGGGAAAACTGTTATATGACCTTTACGTCTAAATTGTATTTACGGGAAAAGAAAGAGAGAATGAAAGAAAGAAGTAAATTTCGATCAAAATTCTGTCCAAGACTGATGCTTTGGAAGTTATTTAGTTTCTAACGAGATGAAAAAGAGAAAATATAAAGCAGTAGGTAGTTATCTAAACACCAGTTATATAAATAATAATAAATAAATAAATTAAGTACTTATTCAGTTTTATCAAAAGGGATGCAGAAAAACTCCTCCGAAGATAAACATATTGTCATAAAACAAGACATAGCATTGGTAATACTAATACCTCTTCGGGCGTTGATTCTCTTCTTGAATAGCCGAATTGGGTCATAACCCTCCAAACACGCCGCATAAATAATTATCCTGACATTGAAATTCAAGCAATTTTCAACCCATCAAAGAACCAAAACAAATAGCCCGAACTTTCTATATATATACACACACAGAAAAACAAAAATTGGTAAGAGGGGGACATAGAAGGTGATCTCTCTGGCGGCTCTGGGGCTGCAAAACCTGCCACTCTCGTCAATTCTGGGCAGCATTTCTCTGGGAGATGAGAGAGAGTTTGCCGATTTTTTAAGAACTTCCCCAACAGCCGTGAGAGCTGAAGAAGTGCGAAGAGGAGAGCTTAATAGAGAAATTAAGCTTTCTGAGAATTAGGTTTTGAGTAGCATTCTCTATACCAGATCAGAATATGACACCTCTTTGCATTATTTGGAATCAAAGTAGAAATAGAAGTTAGAACTAAATTGAAGAGTAACATTACTTTTTGTATAAATTGAAGAGTAACACTACTTTTTTATCTAATATATTCTACACCCGTGCATATATATAAATATATTGTGGAACATACATATTAAATTGATGACTTAATATGAATGCCACAATTAAACACACTACCTTAGGGGGGGTATTCCCAAAGTTTCTCATTTTATCTGTTCGATTTTCTAATAATAGATAATAAATAATCTCCTATTGTGTACAGAATCACAACACTTACTCCAAAAACATATTATATATATATATATATATATATATATATATATATATATATATATAATATTGTGAGTTGAGTTGAGAATTTCACTTGATAGAGCTTTGATGTCAAATAAATAAAGAAAGACAGGTTTCATAAATGAGGAGTGAAGAGGTTGAGGGAACACTGACAATATTTCTTTGTATTTTGCTCTGTTTTGAAAAGGCTACATGAGAGAGCTCTCTCTCTCTCTTTGAGGTGGATCTGATTTTTTTGGTCCAAAACTCTGGCACTACAATCAAACCAAAGACACCACCTTTATGTGAAGGTGAATACGGATACTACATGTCTTTGCACTAGGAAAGGAATCAAAATCAAAATCAAAATCAAAATCAAAACAGCTAATGGGTGATTTAAAGTTTTCAATGGGAAACAGATAAGTGTAGTACTACTAAAGTCTGTTTTAAGAGAAAAGCCTTCAAACATGGTAGAGTTTATAGATTTTTGTGGGGATTGCCTTATTAAATCTGCCTATGCTCTTTTAGCTGCATTATATATATTTCTCGCAATCGAGATATACATGGTTTTACCCCACTAATTCTCGGAGCTCCCAAAGAATTATTTGTACTCATGAAAGCGTAGTCTCAAAGAATTATTTGTACTTATGAGGAATCTAATTTTAAATCTGGTGCTTCATGTACTTTTATTTTTTGATTTTCAATTGTATCCAAACATCTTATTTTTTTATATTTCCATTAAAATGGTATCTCTCTTTGATTTTGGATCATGTGTGTGATTATGAAATTATGTGTTGATTTGTAAGGTTGCTTTCAGCTTTGGACAAAAATAAAATGAAATGCTCTTTGAATTATCGACTCTCAATTAACTATGTTGGCAGCCTATTGCAATCGATTAGAGTGATTAATAAATTCTTAAAATTTTGTTTCTTGTGAGGGAGGGTCTAATTTTGTAATTTTGCTTTAATGGTATTTGATAGTAACAGAAAAATTCAGTAAGTTAATATTTATATTTGGTTTTATACTAAGTCGCATAAAGTGGTAGATAGAGCGCAAAAGCAACAAAATTAAATTACAAACAAATCGTGAGAATGGGAGCTAGATTTACACCTGTTAAAAAGAATTGTATGACCTAGATTTTAACACAAACACACTTGTCATAGGCTAGCTACACCTATTGTAACTTCTGCGGCTAGCTATTGGTCACTGTTCTTGTTTGTTTGAGTGTGTTTGGATCATAAAAAAACAAACATATTTCAGCCACTACATGAATAGCTTCCCAATGAGATTGAGGAAAAACTTCAAGACAAAATGGCTGAGCTAAATCTAGTTTATGATTATGTTAAGTGCTGTTAGGAGGAGATTGAAACAGCACTGGACCGTCAATAAGCACATCAATCTTAAGAATCATAGTGTGAACTATACTCTAATACAGGTCCATAGAACACGTGTGCCATTAGGGGAGAGAAAACCCTAACGTACCTCGATTTGGAAGGAGAAAGAGAAGGAATGAGAGAAATGGTATAATAATACTTGTTTAACCTTCCAAACAAAAAACCTTTAGGAGTCATCCAAACCAACATGAATTTGTTCTAATTTTTACAAGAGTTAGGCTGAAATATTTAAACATAACACGACTTTGTCATATATATGTATGTTTATACATGATTTTAACACACACACACTGGCCATAAGCCTAAATACCACACATTAACTAGTACATAATGGAACACATACACAAAACTAGTAGTAATCATGATGCAACTAATAAGCTCCATATGATCAAAGTAGTTTCACGGCTTATTTATCATTAAGCAGTAGTTGCCATGGACTGATATAGATATATATTCAAAGCATATAATTTTAAATTTTTAAGCTCATTACATCAACAAACTATCAAGACTTTCATTTTATTTTTGTCCAAATCTGAAAGCAACCTTACAAATCAACACATAATTTAATAACCACACACATGATCCAAAATCAAAGAGAGATACCATTTTAATGGAAATATCAAAATTTAGTTAAAACCATTAATACTGACCATGGTTATATCCATTTGAAATTTTAAATTCACATTGTCAGTTATAACCAATACACACCACAATATTGGTCGATAGCTATGAGTAGTATCAATTCACTCCGTTAGAAAATAATATCTATGTAAAATCAGCTATATCTGTATCTTCCTACAAAAAGAGTCAGACTAAATCAGCTATATCTGTATTCAAGCTATATATTCAAGGCTCTTTGATGACTGCAGACTAAATCCTCAGCAGAACGTAGGAATTTAGGAGTTAAAATTCAAAGCCACCAACACATAGGTAGTCCAATTAGTTTTTATGTATAATTAATTATTATAACTCAATTTAGATCAAGAATTATTCAAGATTGTTGCCTCTTTCTCAAATGGCATGTAGAGTATACCTCTGTGTAATATGTCTTTAGGCATCTACGCACATGATAGAATTGATGCAAAAGCTAGCAAACTCTATGAATGAGGCTTTTTTAATATATGTATTTAGCATTAATTTATAAAAAAAATGTATTTAGTATTAATTTATTATTCCAACATTCCCTTGTACTTGTCTCCCCCATTTTCAAGACTTACACATATAATATTTGTGTGTGAAAAATAATCAACACTCTGCTCTCTCTCTATTTAACTCTCAATTTTTTATTTTCAATCTATATTGTCCCATTTAACTCTCTATTCATCTCATAATCTCCCTCATCTTGTATATATGTTTGTTGTACACATAGTGATACAATTATCTAGTAATCAATGGCATTGATTTTGTGGTTGTATTTTGATTTGAAAAAGGTCTGTAGTGTGTGTTTAGGAAAAGTTTAATCTTGACACCGCCTATCCCTATTGAGGGAATTAGTAGTGTTTCGGTGTAAATAGATCTCTAAATTACATTATATAATTATGATATTTAATTGTTTTATATTTCATTTTTTTTTGAACTTCATATTTAGTTTTTTTTTTTAAACTAATGAGTCAATTTTCGAAGCAGTTGGACAAATGGATGAGAGACAAATTATATGCTATTGTCGATTTGATGGGAAAATTGACAAAAATGAGAATGGGGAAATTATATACATCGGCGGTGTCACAGACCCTTTTATGATAACAACAACAACAACATACGAATCATTTATAAATGAGTTACAACAACGTTCATCTTCAAACATGAGTGGTAAAGTCATATATTATACCACCGAATCTAACAAGAATGAACTTTTGAGGATGACGGGAGAATCTGGATTTAGAGTGATGCTTCTAGTGAGTGGTCCCATGCTAAATGTGTATATGGAAGATGCAGAGCCTGTAATTGCATCATGCACAATTCCTACTGATCATAGTGAGAGGTAAGACACATATATTTAAAGTAATACATTGATGTATGCGCTGCATAGGTTATGTGATTTTTAATATACCTTTTTATCCACTTGTAGACAATTTGTTGAAGCCACATCGCCAATTGGTCTTCTACAAAGTGTTGCGTCAACGTCTTCATTTCCTCCGATAAATGCGCATCGGGATTCTTTCCGACACATTGATGACATTCTTTGCGTGGATCAGCTTTTTGACAGCCCAAATGATTTCAAAGATGCACTCGTTTTGTTTGGTCTTCGTAATCATTTTCGGTTCAAGTACTTGGACAATAGCAGAAAATATTATAGAGTTGTGTGCGAGGTTAATAATTGTCCATGGAAATTATCAGCTGGTTGTGAAGGAAGTGGTGATATAGTGAGAATCAAGCGGTTTAATAATGTTCACACTCACACTGCTCAAGACATTTCAGATTATAAAGCCATTTCTTGGTCGAAGGAAATGGGTCGAGCTATTGTGAACAAGGTTAGGGACAATCCTAAATGCACCCCCAAGACTATTTCCACAGACATAAACGATGAATTTTCTGCTAAAATGACTTACATGCAATCGTGGAGAGCTAAGGAGTGTGCACGTCATATCATTGAGGGAAATCCCAAGGATAGCTATATTTTAGTCCCGTGGTTGTGTGAACGAATAGCAGAATATATTCCTGGGACAATTACATCGTGGGAGTGCACGGATGATAGGAGATTTAAGCGAGTGTTTGTAGCTTATGGGTGCTCCATACGAGGTTTCATCAACTATTGCAGGCCCATGTTAGCAATCGATGCTTGCCACTTGAGTGGCAATTATAAAGGAACAATGCTTGGTGCAACGGGGTTCGATGCGAATGATGGCTTGTGGCCTTTGGCGTATGCTGTTGTTTCTTCTGAGAATGATGATGATTGGCATTGGTTCTTGAGCAAGGTGAAAGAGATTCTAGATGGTCGCATTGTGACAATCTTAACCGACAGGCATCCGAGCCTAATAAGTTGTATTAGAGATATTTTTGGCTCCCAGTACCACTCATGGTGTCTTCGTCACCTAACGGCGAATTTTTCTACATCCATTCTTGGGAGACAAAGTTTAGGATTGAGGGCTTCGGGTAAAGAGCATGCGAAAAAATTACTCGATAAAATTGCATATGCTCGAACTGTAGATGAGTATAAGAATGCATTGGCTGCCATGCGGGTATTTTGAGGGGAGTTATGCGATTGGGTTTTGGCGAATTCACCTGAACATTGGTCAAATGCTATGTTTACTTCCAAGCGTTGGGATAAATTATACACCAATCAAGCAGAGTCCTTCAATGCATGGGTGAAAGAAGAGAGGGTTTTTTCAATCACAAGGTTGATGGATACACACATGCAAAGACTCAGCAAATTTTTATACCAAAAGAGTTTGGACGTTCAGAAGTGGACTATCCCAGTTGGGGATCGTATTGAGGAGAAAATAAAAAAAGAGCAAGAGTTAGCTCTTGGTTTTCAGTCGATGCGTGTTTCGCCTACTGAGTGTACAATATATGATCGAGACAGAAAACCATTCAGGGTGGTATTTGGCAGTGAAAATTCTTGTAGTTGTTTGAAGTGGACCATGAGTGGGATTCCTTGTTCGCATGCATGCTATGCCATCCATGAATTATCTTTAAATATTTATGAGATGGTTGATCCATGGTTTAGGGTTGAAACACAACAAAAACTATGTGAACATCTCATGTCTTCTGTCCCCATGCATGATATGCCGAATGCAGCTGTTGTTGCTGCAGCTGACGGTGAAGGTGCTTCCCATCTTAGGCCTCCTGCGGTAACACGTCCCCCTGGACGACCTCGTATTAAACGAATCGAATCACAATTTCAAAATGTAAGGTCGTTACACTGTTCGCGATGCGGCGAGAATGGTCATAATCGTCGAAAGTGCAAGGCTCCTATACCTGGATAGAATAGTTATATAATTGCTAATTCTAGTGGAGTTATTTTGTAAGGTGTTAAGGCCTTAAATATGGAATTATTTTGTAATTACTATTAATTCCTTGGAGCTCCCCTACTGCATTAGTATAACTATGTTGTGATAGTATTTCTAACTTATTTAGAAAACATTTCTAAGTATGATGTAACTTATTCTAAGTTGAATCTGTATTATTCGTCTGGTGGTTTATTTTGGTATTGAAATTATTTTCCTGGGTCCTCGTATGAGTCTCATGTGGAGTGTTATTTAAAAATCATAGGTGTGTGAGTTTTCTGGCAGCTGGAGGGTCGTGAAAGCAAGGAGGTTATGGGATTATGTGACAATGGACGGGCTTACATGTTACATGCTTACGGAAGGCTAGGAAAATAACATCATATTAAAGTCATTATGACTTGTTTCCTCACTATTAATTCCTTGGAGCTCCCCTACTGCATTATGACTGTTATTTCAACCACAATTTACCTCGTGAGTCTCTCTCTTCCTCACTTTCTTTGTGTCTCAAAAATTATATGAACATTGTGTTTACATTATCAACATTGTTTGACAGATGAGGCTGAATGGATAAATCAGTACAAAGGAAGAGTGTTCAGTTTAAACGACAAGCCTGTGGTGCATAAAATTTGGCTGCCGAATGAGGAATGCCCCAGATTGGCAATGTCTAGAGCCTTTGGGGACTACTTTATTAAGGATTTTGGACTTATATCCGTCCCTGAAGTGAGGTGTTGTCACATATAACCAGCAGAGACCAATTTGTTGTGTTGCGAACCGATGAGGTATGTATGGCACTTTTTGGTATTTATCACTTGTTCTTTTTTATACAATGACAAAGAAAAAGACTTGTTTGTTTCTCTATTAAATGTCCAAAAGATCACGTGAACGAATACGTTTCAAACTCACGAGCATAATTGACAATAATCACTTCAAATTATGTGATATCAGTTATTATTAATGAGTTTACAGGTTTTTGTTTTGGCTCAAATTGATTGGATTTTGAAATTAGTATGGATTTTTGAAGTTAATCTTAACATGCTGTGATCCTTGTTTTGTAAGCAGAATTCTTCCTATCTCTTCCTTCAAACCTTATTTAATCGGTAAGAAAATTTATTGATTTAAATTGATAGAAGAAAAATTGTGTGTTTAAGCTTCCAATGGACTTGGTTTCATGCAAATTGTTTGAGAATTTCTTTTTTATTGATTTTTCAAAGTGAAGTATGTATTTCTGGGAAAAATTGTTTCAAATAGATTTTTGGGCTTCCTTCTGATTTTTTGTTGTCCAAATTGTCCAATCATGTTTGATAGAATAAAAAAATAAATAAACAATAATAAAAAGGATTTTGCTATAATCTTAGTTGACTACTGTTACCCCATTTATTTATTTATTTTGTTTAGAGTCTTGCTTTTGGTTACTAGCGCCTAATAAAAAAGTTGTTTGCTCATATGTCCCTTATTTTTGAGTTTTTTCATTTAACCATCTCCACTTGTACAATATTTTGGTGTTATATTTTGTTTAATTGATTTGCATGTACTTCAAATGTAGTCTTCCCGCTAGGGGCTGGGAAGAGATAACAACGGGAGCGTCGATTGCATGGCTATCAAGTACATCAAATTTGTAAGTTATATGGTCTTTATGTTCGATAAAAATCTTTTATGATTGCACATTTGTAATGCTTTTTATACTCATACTCGGGGGGGTCACATGCCTTTAAGTGACCAATTTTATGGTGTATCATGAACTTTATTACCTTATTGCTACATCGGCCCATGTGGAGCCCATTTTTTTTTTTCTTGTTTTAAAATGTTGAAAGCATGGGAGTATGGGATCATCGTATGTGGAGGTTTTGATTGATTGTTGTGGAGGAGAAGTTGTTGATATGTTGTTTAATGAGTTAATGCAAGTTCTCACGTTCTTCGTACATGTTGATATGTAGAGGTTTTGCTAATTTTCTCTTAAACCCAACTCATTCATCAACGCTCTCTTGCTCTCTCTCTCTCTCTCTAGTCTTGTTCATCGTTTTGCTAGGATTTCTACTCTATTTTTATACAATTTTAATCCCTATATATATATATATATATGCTGTTCCTAAAACATCAATTTTGGATTCAGGAATTGGACACAAAAATGTTGCGATTCCCTCTCTCCGATCAGAAACTTCGAAGGCAAAATTTGTGCGAAAAAGTATGTGTTTCCATCTGCTTGTGTGTGTTTATGTATGTTCGCCAACCAATTGATATTTTCGGCTTTCTGTTTCGTTGCAATGAATTCAAGAAAACGAGAAAAGTTTAAATTCTTTTAGCTTTTGTATCGAATTCCTTTTGATTTTCTTTCTTTTGTTTGTCTTCGTGAATTTGTTGGACTTTTGGATTTACTGTGAACTACGGTTTCTTCGTCTACTATTTGAATGTTTCTTTTTTTTAGACGATATCTAGTGTTGTTTGCAATATCTTTAGATTTTTGTGGTTGATGTTCCCATTAATTTCTTGGATTTTGATTTTTTTTCACGTAAGGGTTTCTTTAGCATATTTGGATGGTTTATTGTCTACGAATATGAGTTTTCAGGAATTTAGGGTTTATTTGTTCAACTTGTATAGATTCTGCACGACTATAATTTTTGACATCATTAGATAATTTTTTGGATGGTTTGGATTTCCATGGGATTCAACATGAAGATTCAGGGAAAACACACTCAATATGTTTTTGTTTCTATTTGTATAAATTTGGATTTACGTAGTTCTTTCTTTATTCAGAGAAATAGACCCAATAAAGTTTAAATAATCAATAGGTCCCATAAACTCTTGAGAGAGGTGCAATGAGATTGTGATCAAAGACACATCAAATAGAAGAAGTGAATTCAAATATATTTGATAATGAAGCAATAGGTATAGCCATTTTTGGGCTTTCCTTTCACAATTCCTCATTGGGGGGATCCACAACACTTCTCCCTTTTCCCCTTATAACTTCCTCCCACTAATTCGAATTAGGTCTAGCCGTCCTCCTTCATTCTCCATTTTTGTGTATGCTTAGTAGTGGGCTTAGAAGAGCAAGATTGGGTTGAATGACCAAAAGATTCACAATCTAACATCTGTGACTTCTCATATAGCTTCCTCTCTATATATACCAGTCTCGAACCTTGACCAGTGGGTTTATAATTCAAACCATAAGCCAACAGGCTATAAGGTGAACCGGTAAGCATTTTCATTTCTCCAGTTGTTAGGTTTCTAAGTGAGGAAAATAGATAATAATGTAATATTATCATATGTCCTATTGTCTTGGATTACAAAGAATTTTTACTCGAAAGGAACCAAAATAGTTGTAGAAGACAGTAACGATAGTTTCAGGTTTTGTTTTTGTGTTCCATATAAAGAAAATATTACATTTCAAAATATACTCTCTTTATTTATTTAATTTTTTTTTTAATATCTTTGCCTGCCTTCTTTTGTCATCGCAATAGGCTTCACACTAATCTTGCTCCTGGGTTTTAAACTCTATGGCTGATTTTTTCCTGTCATTTTGCCTTTTTATATATATATATATAGGTTTTATTGGAAATTCACACTAATCTTGTTCTTTTGGGATGGCAGCTGGATAGGTTTATTCCCAACCGATCTGCAATGGATTTTGATTTTGCACATTACATGCTCAACGGTGGGATGGTAAGAAAAGAAAGCCCAACACCATGCTCTCCAGCCAAAGAAGCTTACAGGAAGAGGATCCTTGCATTTTGTGTGGAAAAAGAAATTGGGCTTCTGTCAGTTTCTCTAACTGCATTTTGTGTGGAAAAAGAAAAACTTAAAGAAAAACATGGGTTTAAATGCAACACAACATGCATTTTTATATCCCATTTAAGTTCTGATAAAGTTGGTAGTTTCTTTTACGTTTTTTTTAGTTTGGAAGAGAACAAAGTCCAGTTTAGTGGTGAAGTGCAAGGTTGAATGAGGCATGTATCATTGAAGATTTTATTATACTGATATAATGCATAAAGTGAACTACTATGAAGGATTATGGCTTGTATAGTTGGCCTATATTTTAGAAAACAAATATTAGAACTAAGAGTATTATATTCTTTATTTGGAGTGAAATGAAATGTATTTATTGCAAATTGTCACATTTCTCATGATCTAGGCATTAGATTTGATTTTTCTGGTGCCACCTCTCCATCCTGTACTCTATTTTTCATGGTTTTTCTGAACAGCTAAGGACTTTGCAAGACGGGCATAGTTCAAGGGTTGGTTCTCTTGATATCCAATGACAATCACACACTGTATTAGAAAACTGTATTAGAAAATTAAAAGAAACCAAAAACTGTCTTGGTATGGATGATGGCTTTAGGATACTGCTGAAGAAAATACTAAAAAAAAATAAAATAAAATAACTGTGTTGGTGTAGGAGTGATCCCAAAGTAGGGTTATTAAAGAAATTAAAGACTCAAAAGGTGATGTTTAACTGGTTAATCTTGAAATATAGTTGCAGTTTCTTTGTCCAGTTCTTTTATGATCCTGTTTTCTTACCCCTTGCTGAAAATATCCTATACTGGATCTTGGTTCCCTTTACTATTTAGTCTATTACTACTTACATATCTTGTTCACTGATAATCAAGTTAAATTATACTTGTACTTGAGAATCCAATATAATTAATTGGTCTTTCTGGGTGTATACCAAAATTTACATGAAAATACAAAACCTTTGGAATTAAATTAGGCGGGTCACGGGGATTTAGACCTCCATTACCCAAATTAATTGTATGGGAAAGCAGTATTGTTTATCAGGAGTAGGCGGAATTAAGTTGCCTACTGCCCAAATTAGCACTAGGCTCTCTTATCTTGGTTTTGTTTATTTATGTATGTTATTTTGTTCGTACGTTTTGGTAGTAGTTTCTTCGCTACTTTTTGTTTGTCAATGATGATGATATCTATTTGATTCATAAATGACATTATAATAGTTTTGTTAAAATAAAGACATTAGATTAGTAAATTGTAATTACAAATAGGGATGTCAATAGTCTGCCTCATGACAACAATGGCACTATTTATAACTTTTTCAAACACTAAGGCTTTTTCTTGATGATATGACCATACCTCTTTATCTGCCATGGTGTAAGGCTGTTTTACATTATTTGGCTTTTTGTTCAATCACATGGCTAGACACAGAATGGGACTCTTACTGAATAAATCAGCTCTTGTAGATAAACAAAAGCAACCCACTTTCATATCTTATCATCACATGGCTAAAGTTAAAAATAGTGGTGGTAGGTGCATGAACTATTATGCAAAACACCCCACTTCCTGCCAAAGAGAGAGAGAGAGGTGTAAGTCCCTTTTGTCAAATCATCACATGGGTAAAACTCATTCACATGTCTGTGAATTGGGCATTGTAAATAGACATATGGCATATGCACAATGCCATAACATTAGCACTAGTAAATCTCAAGGACTGAGTTTTTTTGAGCAATAACGGGGAGGTGGAATTCATACAAAATACTGCATAAAATAAATAAAAAATACATACATTTCATATACATACTGCATAAAATTTAACTCAACTACTAAGTTTTTTTTAGCAATAACGGGGAGGTGGAATTACAAAGTCATCATCCCCTGTATCTGAATAATCTGACAACTCTGAAGCAACTTATAAGTCTGGATCATTAGTAATGGCTTGAATAACTTCAATTGGATCCTTATGCATCTTCTTTGCAATGGAAATGCTCTCATTCCTGCAACATCTGACATATAGATTTTTTAATAGCTTTGATCAAATATGAGAAAAAATAAAGATACTACATAATCAAAGTGCACTTAGAAATCTATTTAAAAAATAAATTAACATTATAATAGTTTTGTTAAAATAAAAACTTTAGATTAGTAAATTGTAATTATAAATACGGATGTCAATACTCTGCCTCATGACAACAATGCCACTATTTATAACTTTTTCAGACACTAAGGCTTTTTCTTGATGATGTGACCATTCATCTTTATCTGCCATGGTGTAAGGCCACTTCAAATTATTTGGCTTTTTTTTCAATCACATGGCTAGTCACAGAATATGACTCTCACTGAAAAAATCAGCTCTTGTAGATACACAAAACCAATCCACTTTCTCATCTTATCATCACATGGGTAAAGTTTAAAATAGTGGTGTTAGGTGTATAACACGACAACTATTATGAAGACACCCCTATCATGCCAAAGAGAGAGATGTGTAAGTCCCTTTTGTCAAATCATGATATGGGTAAAATTCATTCACATGTCTGTGAATTGGGCTCTATAAATAGACATATGGCATATGCACAAAACCATAACATTAGCACTAGTAAATCTCAGTTGTTGATCTATGGATCGAAAGTATATAGAACGAAAGTACTCGTTAAGAGATGCATGGATTGAAAGTAGTTGTTTTACATTCTCAATCGTTCTCAAAACTATTCCATTTATAATTCCTCACATCGATGGTTCATTTTTTTTTGTAAAACTAACCTGGCATGTAATCATCGTCGCCTCCATCGAGATTTGGTGTGTATTTATTTTTCAATGTGTTCAAGTGTGTATTTATTTTTCCCTCAATAAACGTTTCAAAAGTGTTTTTACAAATGTACCCTGTATTTATTTTGCTATTATTTGGCTTCTATTCATTATAGCATTATAAGCTATTCCATTTTTAACTCCTCATATTTGAAACTATTCCATTTTTAACTCCTCACGACATTTCGTGAGGCCATGAGACCCCTCCGACGTATAGGATTTTGCTGCTTGCCATTGTCTTCAACCATCAAATGTTCTTCCTTCATATATAAGAAAATACTAGGAAATCTCCTCAGTATATATAATAAGATAGTAGGAAATTTTCGAACTCTAGTGAATTGTCTTCCATAAATTCATGCTAACCCTTGTAAAAATATTTTGTGTTATTAACCTCTCTCACTTCAACCCGCTACGATTTGCTTGCATAACTCCTAATTATAGACTTGGAAGGTAAAACTCTATCAAATTGCTTAAGGAACGCTGGTGGAAGTTGTAGTCGTTGAGAGCT